GGGGGTGAATGGGAAAAGTGGGGGGAGTTTTCCAAGTGGGGGTAAAGAGTTCATGACGTCAGAGGACGAATTTAGGCCGCGGGTTGAACGACTGTTCGAGCGAGAGCTCGACCTAATCTCCGACCAGTGGCTCTTGCATCCCACCCCCTTTTACCCCCCCTCTTTACCCCCTTTTACCCCCCACAATTTCCCTTCAATGGTCGACTGCGGTAATGGCGCATGCAGGGGAATCAATGAACTTGTGTAAATTAAATTCCAGTCTGCGGCAATATTTCAGAATATTTCATTCAAGATTTTTTTTTATATTCCAATTAACGGAATTAATGAGGAGGGGGAGGGTATTTTCTGTATGACGGAAAAAAATTCTCAGAATTCCAGGGAAAATCGAATTTTTATTGAAACAAATGGCAATATTTTTAATATTAATGAATGCAAATTGATTTTCCGCGAAAAATTCATGGAATTAAAATGAAATATTCAACTCTCAGATAATTATAAAATAATATAAATAATAATAATAGTAATCAATTATTATTGTTATTATTATTATTATTAACATTGACATTGTTGATGATGTTATTGGTAATTATTGAGATTAAAAATATTTTTTTTAGTTTGCGATGATGAGATTGTGATAAGGGAATGTTTGGAGAGTTTTTTTGTTAGTGAAAAATGTGGAATTTTACGGAATTTGGTTGGTAATCTCACGGAATTTCCGTGATACGGTGGTTCTTCTGACTGATTGGAGTATGACTCGAGTGTGTCGAGTGAATTGGTGATAACGGGAGTGAGTACTGAGTATGAAGAGCGCAATGTACCGGACGTTACCGGAACCGACCCAGTGACATACTTGGGTTCGCTGCACCCTTTGTACTCAACTAAAAGACATTTTCTATTTTTGGATTACCTCCTCCAAGAACACCCCTCATATCACACTTTCTTCCATTCGCAAACCCATGAAACCCATGACGACACCGGAAAAAATGTCACTCGTTAAAAAATCAATCGAGAGAATTTTCGAATTTTTAATGACATGAGAATATCAATTTATTAATTATAGATTAAATAATTAATTAATTTTAATGTGTATTTTCTTTAATTGTTTCAATTCGTAAGAATTCCGAATTTTTATTACTCAATCGTTTAATTTAAATAATTCATTCAGCAATTAAGCGTTAAATTAGGAAAACGCTATTTGCCACGCGAGTTTTTAAGGAATATCTCGGGATTGAAGGGGTTTATCGAAATTTTTGCATCTACATTTTCTCCAGAGAAAGCCGAGCCCTGCAAAAAAGGTATCGATAAAAATATCGGTATCTCCCTTCACGGCCAAGATATCGTCAAAAAACTGGAGTACATAGACAACCGTCCCCAAATCATTTCCCCATCCAAGAAAAAATAATCGATTTAATCGATATCACGAATAATTTACTCAATTCGAAATTGATTTAATTGAATTAATAACAGATCTGATACAAAAAAATTAATTAACCATCGGAAAATTCGGGTGTCGCAAAAATAGGGAAAATTGAGTGTAAAATTTTCCAGTCATGAAAACCAGAATGAAAATTAAAATGAAAACATTAACTCGAATCGATGAGTCGTCGAGATAGTAGTGGTGCATGAAATGTGGTATTGCAACTCATACTTTAAGGGTCTCATAAAGTGCTCTAACGTCTAATTGCATTTTCAAACGATCGCCAACAGCGACCTATCAGCACAACCGTAAATTCTTATCATATGGAGTGCACGATATCCCAACGGGGACTCAACACGCGGCTTTCACTGCTAATACGTGATGGGGATTAATTAAAAAATTTTCTTAAACCCCGAGGGACTCGCGAGGGCATTAATTTTTTCATTTGCAAATTAATTTTTCTACTCCGCTGCCAAGAAGGCGCTGAAAAAATTCGTGATTAAAAAAACTTGCTGATTTCTCGGATCAATTATTTTAATTTTAATTGGTGAGAATGAGTACTGGGGAATAATAAATAGAATATTTATTTTTTTGGAGGGATTTCGGGGGAAAAGAAACCTTTTTTTATTTTTCGAAGAGATTTTTATTGTGGATGATATTAGAATTCGTGAGACGGTGTGTGATATTGGGTTTGAATGATGCAATTAGAAATTGATTAATGAGTAAATATTGATTAAAGAGAAAATGAGTGAAAATGAAAATTCCAGTTATTAAAGCCGTAATTAAAGCTCTCGAAATAATTTCCTCTCTGCAATTGAAAACTTGAATGAAGTCATTACTTTTTAATGAATGGTACTTGACATTTTCTTTTTTCATTTAATTCTCAAGAATTTATTTATTTAAAAATCCATAAAATCGTAGAAAAATCCTCAAAAATTAATAATAAACCAAAAAAAAAACTGGAAAATTCACTGATTTCCGTTTTTTTTTTAAATTGAAAATAATTCAATGAGAAAATATGGAATATTGGATGGAAGAGATCAAATGAATGGAAATGCAGAATCTTCTGATAAATTAATTAAACTTCTCGAAATAATTTTCGTTCTGCGATTGGAAATCCATTTTCGAATAGAGTCATCGCTTTCAGGGGATGATGAGATGAATTCAATGTGAATGAATGAATTTTATTTCAGTTGACTGGTTTTCTCCAGCAGCCGGTGCCCTACAGCAGTATGTCAGAGGTGTACGCAGTGGCCCGATGGGATCCGACGTACAAATATTGTCTGAGAATTGTTTTACCAGATGGTTCCCTCTTGCTTCAAGCGAGCAACGCCTACACGAGGGACCAGTGGTACCACTCCATCCTCTGGAAGGTAACTGAACCCTCGTAAAACACTTCAATCAAAAAAGCCAACCCTACCTCCAGAAAAAAACCTAGTCTCTCTCCCTCGACAAGACTAAAAATCGAATGAAATCTCCTAAAATATTGCATTTATAGAGAAACTCAACGGGACTTTTTTCTTAGAAATTTAATCTTCTACAAAAAAAGTTCTGTGAATTCTTCCCCTAAACCCTGTACTTTTCAAGATATTCCCAAAAATCTCCCAAGGATTTTTTTATTCGACTTGAAATGAAACTGGATTTCATCTAAACCCTCGTCCCCAGAAAAGTATCTTCAAGTACCAGCACTTGGTGTCACAGACACTCCGAGAGGAAGTGATCCTCCGAGAGCTGAAGACAATGGTAGATTTCGCCCTGTGGACACCCCTCCAGGACGAGAGGGTGAATGGAGCCCCCCTGGAGGCAGTTGCAAAACTGCTGGAGGAGCCAGTGCCACCAGAAATCGACAAGAGCTGTGACAAGAAGATCCTCGAGGCTGAGGAGGTGCAGATCCAGAGGGATCAGCGAACCTGGGCAGAATCTGTCCTGTCAGTTGCATCTCCACTCCTGGAAAAAGCTGCACCACCACCAGCACTCGCCAGGGCCCTTGCCAGACTTGCCCACAGACACCCAAGATCACCCCTGGTACCTGCCCTTGGTCCTGCCATCACTAGATGTCTCAAACACACCGTCGACTTCGGAAAATCACCTGACATGCGAAAACTCATTCAGATGTTCATTGCTGCTCTCTTCGAGAATAACGATGGGGAACAATCCATCAGGGATTACATTGCATCCGTTCATGGACCTGGAAGTGACTGCCCTCATCCCAGGGTCCTACCAAATCTCGTCGCCATCTGTGTCGCTGCTATTTTTCATAGGTAAATTTTTTTATAAGTATTTTATTACCCTATTCTTCTCTTTGGAAAATTAATCAAGGAATTTTAGCTTCTACCCGGTAAAGATTGTATGGTCGAAAGAGAATGTGGAGTCCTTGAAAGAATTAACAATTCCGATCTCAGAGAATGATGTAATTATTTAGGGTTAAACCTAAATTGAAGAGAACTCGATAATAGATGATTTTTTAAAAATAGATTCGAAGTCTCAAATCGAGGGCCCTTGAATACTGAAGAGAAACCCCAGCCGCCACCACTTCAGTGCTATTTACACGTCCTAAAAATAGCGTAAGTATTCTTCGAGAATAATTAATCAATTCCTCAAATCTTAATTCGATTTACTGACGTGAAAAGATTATAATGAAAGGGTTAACCGCCAGAATCAATGAAAGTCCCTCACTTTCCCGGGAAAAATCTCGAAAACAGCTGTATTTATAAAAAAAAGCCCAGAGAACTTTTTTGTAATAAATTCAATTCTCTACAAAAAAGTAATTTGACTTTTTTTCGTAAGCCAAGCGGTTTTCGAGATATCTTCAAAAATCCGTCGATCATTTTCCGCTTTACGCGAGAAATTCATGAATTCGATTATTTCAACGAATTGTTTATTTAATTCAATGCAGTTCGGAATACGCGGACTGGAGGCCAGGTTTAGGTGCTCTTCTCCAGCCAGTGCCATTCCCAGAGGCTGCCCTAGCTGACAACGAGGTTCAACAGTCAGTGTTATCATGCGTAATGAGAAATCTGGCTGATGATCCTCGATGTTCAGTTCATCGGGTGCTCCTACCGGTTCGTGAGCCACGACCTGGTTGGCTCCACATCGCCGCACCATCGAGCCCCGCATGTCCCGACGATGGTGCACTCTTCGGGGATATGGTAATGCTTACAATTCTAAAATGACGCATTTACAACAGCAGAACAAAAAATTAGCATAAGTCAATATCTCTTTGAAGCGCAGATGTTTTTTTTCGAATGTGACCTGGACAAATGATATGGTGATGTATTGACTGATAACCAGTAGATTTACGAATGACGAAAATTTCCGATGATAAACGGAATTCCCAGTAGAAAGAAGGCAATCAAATATTTTCCCAACGCCTAATCATTTTTTACGTTAACATCGACTCAGCGCTTCGCGTATATCTCAAAAGTTCTGGAGTTTAGAAATAAAAGTGATAATACATTTTGGTGGGGAATTTTATACTCTAGAAAAAAAGGTGGAATAAAGTTCTTCGTAGAACAGATGATTAACGAGATAATTGCATAATTAGAAAACTCCATAAAACCGATGAAAATATTTCTCAAAATTTTGGCGAACTCGTTTTGGAAATATCTCATAAACCGTTGGATTTAGCGAAAAATGTTATGAACAATTTTTGTAGGAAATTGAATTCTCAACAAAAAACGTACATGCAATTTTGCTCGAAAATGGAAAGATCCTGAGATAGCGGAGGATAAAGAACACCGATTTTTCTTTTTGTAGTTGACATCCCTGCTGGGCTGTTGCTGTCGTCGAAAAAAATTCATAGCATCTCTTCTGAAGCAAACAGGAAGTGCATGTATATTGCTAGCTGTGCGTGGCTGTGATGCAGCCCAGGAAGCCCTATGTCTAATGCTGGAATGGCGTTTACTTCCGAATGAAGAAGCTCGTCTGCAGGTAGTTTCCGCCCTGCAATCGACAGCCTCTGGCAAGACGTGCTACAATGGCCTCTGCCAGCGACAGAGAAATCTCCAGGAGTTGGTAAGACTTTCGTTCTCACAAAGAGACCAACCAATTTTCCCCAAGAACATCCGTCCGACCGAATTCCCTAAAGATAATCTACAATTTCTCTCATTTTTCTGAATCATCAACTCATCTCGAAAACTATCGATTAAAAACAAAAACGCTAAAGAACTTTTTCACAGCTAATTAAATTTCCGACAGAAAAGGTTCTCTGGTATTTTCTCTTAAAATTAAGAGGGCCTGAGATAAATCGATATTCAACAATAGTGCAATTTGATGTTTGAGCGAAGATGCGGAAAATGTGAAGTTAGAGTTTATTTATGAAGAATTCAAGTTGATCCCGTAGTTTTCTGGTCGAGATTGAAATAGTTGAGGCCCATCAACTGATGAAATAATGGAAAATTGTGTTACAAAGCAACAGAAAGGTGGACCGAAGAAATTAACTCTGCCAGTTCGTGCAACTGATGCCGATGTTGCTCTACTCCTGGGAGGTGGTGCCCTGGGCAATTTGGAGTGCCTCAGTCTGGCTTTCACATCAGTTACGTCTGCTTGCGCTGAACAACTTATTAAATTACCAGCCCTGAGGTATCTCAACCTGTGGGCAACGCAATTCGGCGATGCGGGGCTACAGATGATTAGCGAGCATCTCCAGAAACTTCAGGTGCTCAATCTGTGTGAGACACCCGTATCGGATAAAGGGATTTCAACGCTAGCATGTAAGTGCTCTAATTGTTTAACTGCGTCATTGCTAATGGACGTTGGAGCGAAATTGTGAAGAGGATTAGTAAAAGTTTGAGGATTAGCAAGAGTTCGACTAATCCAAGATAATTGTTTAATTATTTCGATAATGAGTGGTTCTACGAAAAATATGGAGAGATGATTTTATGTGGGGAATATCTTCGACGAAAAAAAAGTCCTCTGACATTTTCACGTGGGACGTCTCAGTTGCGGGGTAAACTCGAATTTCAATTTGTGTAATTCAGTTGTTTAATTCACAGCTTTGACGAATCTCAGAAAATTAAACCTCAACAGCACGAAATTGTCAGCTCAGACTTTTGAGTCACTGAAGAAGCGTCTGCCAGCCCTTCAGGAATTCGATGTACGATACACCGAGGCCTGGTGACCCGAGCCAATACCTCAGACTTCACCGAGTACTCCGGAAATTCGTAACAATGGCACAATTCACAATTACAGTTGCCGCACGAAAAAACGTCATTGAAGAGTGCGAGTGAAGTTTTGGGGTTCTCGAGAGAACTTTCAAAAGTTGGATTATTATATTCGTACATTTGTGATTGATTCTGGTGGAGAGATGAATTAACAGAGAATAACTAATTCGATAACTGAGAGAATGAGTTTCCAGATATTTTATTCATCTCTCCGTCAATCTTAATAACGTAAATAATCGTTTAATGTAATTCAGGAGGGAATGAAATGGTACCCCGAGGGGGGAATGGCTGGTACTACCGTCGACGACAGTCAAACATTTCTAAAGTTATTAATTATGGTTTTAATTGTGTGGAGGAGTGGTGAGTGATCGAGGTTTATAAATTCCTATTTTTTTTGGGAGTATCTCGGAATGCGCTGGGTCCACAGAGAAAAGTGAGAAGATATTCTTTGATAAACCCACGAGTCTCCGAGATATTCCCAGAAGATTAGCAGGACATTCCTGTTATTCACCACTTGCCCGCCAAATTGTTGAATAAAAAATGAGGAAGGAGATAAATTGAGTGGTACTCGTGGATGGGCCTTCTTGGACGGTTTTCCTAGTTTGCCGTGTGCCTCTTCTTCGACTCGTCTTCCCAAAATGTCCTCCAACTCCCAAAAGACAATTTGAGTCTACCAAGAGGCACACGAGGCAATCGCTAAAGTACATGAGCGAACAAAGGGGAACAACTATTACCAAAACAATGATAAACATTGTTTCTGTCCTTTTTAAGTGATTAATAAAAAAAATAACGACTTACTCACTCGTCTGAGGGTGCCCAACTGCCTTAAAACTACTGCAAAGTTCTGAGCGAGCACTGCCACACAAAAAAAAAACACAGGGATGCCGAAAATTGTAATTGGAGCGTTAGAGGATAATATTGAAGTCTAGGTGTGATTGAGTGAAGTAAAATGATGATCGCAACCTCAATTTTTTTAACCCACATTGTCAGATTTGATCAAACGACAAAATGGTGGTGAAGACAAAATTTCTTTCACAAATCTCTTGAAAATAACTGAGACATTTCCCCAGACTCAACTTCCGCCATTTTGTCTGATCTCTGGCGGTAAAATGCACATGAACTACTCGGAAAAATCATGATGACACTTTTAATGTTCAACCAAAGATCTAGATGTTCGATGTTCATAAGAGATTGAAGTTCTATTTCATGAACATCATCTTTGTATTTACCCTCTAACCTTCAAACCCACGTTGGCACGTCGAATGGGAGATTTTCACGTGGATTTAATTATTGTTCACTGGACACAACACTTTTCCACACTGTAGTCTAGTATTTTTGGATATTCTATCATTGACATTCACTGGTGGCGTCTGTTTCTCGGTGACAGTCATATTCCGATGTTTACTCACCGGCACACTAGCTCGAACTGATAGTCTCACTCTCCCCACCCCCGCTCTTCCATCCCTCACTACGAACGACTGACTCTCTTCCAACATTATTTACGCGAATTTTATTGCTTTGAGTAATTAATTCACCCGAATTTAAGCGATTTGTAGCCTCAATCGAGAAAATTGGAGGAGAAAAAAAATCATCGGTCGACGTACTCTTGCAATCTGGGGCGATTTGGGGCGAGGGAAATCGTTATTTATATTTTTGCTCGAGAATTAAATTATGTGCAAAAAAATTGAATTCAATTCTATCGTTAGTCCAGTCGTGATCGAGATAATCGAACAGTTGATAATTGGTATCGACAAGCGATGGACAGTGGTTTTGAGATTTTAAATTATTGAGAAAATGCAATGGTTGGGAAAAAAATTTTATTAGATTTTTTTTAAGTCTAGGAAATTCTCTTGAAGGATCAGTTGATTCTTGACTTTCAATATCTCATCAGCCACTCCACTCTTGATTAATCCTTTTACTTCATGGAATCACGAAAATCAGAAGTTAAATTTATAGTTTAAAATTGCCGTTCGACTCTAGTATCCGTATCGAAGGGTTTAGAATTGTCTTCTCAAAAGTATTTCGAGGACGAGAGTTTCTCTAGTGTAAATAGTTAAGCAGGATTAATAATTTATTGTAGCTAGGTGAATATTTATATCTTAAACGACTTAAACGTAATGAATAATGAAGTAAAAGATTGGAAAATCTGCGAGGCAGTTGAGAATTGCAAAAATACATTTTTAAAATCATAAGAAATACGCGTGATAGAGTAATAATAACGAACCAAAGTAATTAGCAAAAAATCGAAAAGCAGGAAGAGGAACTAATAATAAAATACGAATGAAAAATTCACCCACGTCTGATAAATTTATGAAAAAATATCACACCACTGCATACCCAAGTGGATAGGATGACTGATTTCTGTATTTATCGTTTTTCCATTGAAACCGGGGATTCCCAGGTGGGCAAGTCCTGCATTGAAATCTCCAATGAAAAAAATCATCTCGCAGAGACACTTGCCACCAATAATCCTTAAAAATATATTTGCGACGCTGCGAGGGGAGCAAGCATTGTAAGAAGACTGCTTACGTCAATTTTCAATAAGAAATTGTTAAGTTAGAAACGATGAAAATTATCTCGAAGAATTTAATACCAAAAACAAAAAGCGAAAAAATTGAAAAAAAAAAACGTAAAAAAAAACTGAAATTTCAAGTTCTGTTGAAGAGGCATTTATACACATGCGGATTTTCATTTACAGGGACTAAACATGTGAAATAAAAAACGTTATTGAATGATTATTAACAAAGTCATGAACGTCTTTGTGTCTTACATGTATAATAAAATGACGTTGAACATTTCGACTCAATGATTCTACCTAGCCCCATTACATTGTCTTCTCTCATCCCTCGTATTCACTATTATTCATTCAAAAAAATAGATTCATTGTTTAAATATATTAGTCTATCATTTCCTCTGGAGTTTCTTTTATTAATACTTCGGTGAGTCAATCCCGACTTTCGATTGGAGGTCGGATGGCAGCTCGTCGTAGACGATCTTGGGAACAGTTTCTGCGAATAAAAACAATAATCCAATGATTTTCAACTCCAAGAATTGTACAACAAAACCACTGAATTAATGAATCAAGCGGAATATCTCTGGATCTGAAAGAGATACGAAAATCATAGTGGATATCTTTTTTGTAGATCTCATTCCGTTCTCCAAAAAAGTTCTTCACAAAATTTCGATATTTTTTTTCGATTAAGAGATATTCTTCGAAATGTACGATTCTTCGAACGTTCGACTTGTGATTTTTTATGTATTTAGGAGGGGATAATGAACTGACCTCTGCAGCTGTACTGCAGGTGAGACCACCTGATCATCTCCTGGGAGAAGCAGAAGACCCCCAGTCTCCCTCCTTTGAGGACAGAATTAAAGATGTTCCCTGAATCAGCGACAGTCTTCTCCCCCTGGTAGATCCAGAGTCTGATCAGTCCGATTCTGGGTCTGTGGAGCAATTCCCACCTGTAGGAGGTCTTCTCCTTCCATCCGACATTCTGAGGGTCCTTCCAGAGGAGGGTCACCTGGTTAGGGGTGCTCTCTGTGTGCCAGAGGCTGTTCCTCAGCTCTCTACCAGGTCCTGTCTCTGAATCAACGAGTTTTAGCTGAATTCCAGGCTCTGCAACCGCTCTGAAGGGCTCAGAACGCCAGTACGTTTGCGGACTCTTCTTCCACATCACAACATAGAATTTCCGGTTGTTCTGGTAGGCAAACACAAACCCTATGTAGTCGTCATCGATGTCTGTGTTCACGAACATCGTCCCCTCGTAGTTCACTCCAGCGAATTTATCCAGACCTGAGGATTACCAAAAAATCAGAATTACACACGTCGTTTCTGGTCGATATCTCGAAATCTGAGGCAGACAGACAAATCTCTATGGGAACTTTTTTTTAGATTTTTCTCTGCCCTACAAAAAATCTCCTCTTCAAATTTCACTATCTCCGATAGATCTCGAGATATCCCATCGACTCTGGGGGTCGCCGAAAATTTCTCAGATTTCTCATTTTATGGAGAATGAAAAATTACCAATGGCAATTCCAGGATCACTGTTGATAGTTTGAGTAATCTCAGCTCCATCGTCATGAATGAGCCAGTTGGGGTCGACCTGGGCATCTCCAACGGGATCCAGGGCAATAGTCTCGTATTTCCTGAAGTCCGTCGTCCAGATTTGGCTGTTGTTCGGGCAGTTGTCGTAGGGATTTGCTATCGTGTCGTTGTCGTTGTCATCCCAGCATGCGTCTCCACTTGGTCCACCTATTTTAGAAGATTGCAAACGTTTGCAGGAGGTGAAAACGAAATAATTTTACAATTTCAAGTCACTCTCCTCAAAGGATAATGAAAAATTTAGGTCAGGGACTCTAGAAAGGGAATTAGTCATGCTAAATGATTGATAATAAATTGTTTATTGATTACCTTTTGTTCTCTCCTGTCGAGGATTGTACACGTAAGGACAATTATCAACGATATTGGGCACCCCATCACCATCGATATCATCGTCGCAGGCATCTCCTTTCCCATCGTTATCAGTGTCTCGTTGATCTGCATTGGGGAAGTCTGGACAATTGTCAATGTCATCTTGATATCCATCTCTGTCTCTATCGCGATTGTTATCGCAAACATCACCCACTCCGTCCTTATCTGCATCCCCCTGATTGCGATTTGATACTGTTGGACAATTGTCACAGGCATCTCCAATACCATCCCCATCCCTGTCATACTGATCCTCATTTTTAATGTACGGACAGTTGTCGTTGTCATTCAGAAGACCTGCATTAATTGCATTGATTAATTTTGCAGCGATTTAGCAGTAGGTAATCGGGCGATCGGTAAGTTTTTGCGGAATTCTTCAGAATCTGGGAGAGATGGCGAAATTTTTATTGAGACCTTTTTTGTAGGGGAGAGTCCAGTCTACAAAAGAGGTCGTGAGAAGAATTTCGGTATCTCCTTCAAATTCGGAGATATTTCGGGGAAATCGCGAGGGGCTCAGGCGATTTGATTGTTTAATTGGGAATTATTGTTTAATTGTTATTGCGGTGTTACCGTCATTGTCGATGTCAGGATCGCAGGCGTCTCCTAAAGCATCTCCGTCGGTGTTCTTTTGATCTGGATTATAGACCGAGGGGCAGTTATCGCAGACGTCGCCGATTTCGTCCTTGCGATCGCGATCTGTGTCTTCCTGTTCCCTGTTGGCATCCAGAGGGCAATTGTCGGAGGAATTTAGGACCCCATCATCGTCGGCGTCGTCGTCACAGGCGTCTCCTATCCCGTCTCCGTCAGCGTCTTCCTGGCCGCTGTTGGGTACGTATCGACAATTATCGGCGTCAATGATTTCTCCATCACTTCTCAGCTCTTCGTCGGGATGGCCGTCATTATCAGTATCCAATCCGCAGACGTAACCATCACCAGCCCATCCGACTTGACACTACAACAATTCCCAAGTCCAAAAATTAATAAATAAATTAATTAACCATTTCTAATTAGCCCCAAACTGGCAAGGAAACAGTCGACTTAAAAAATCGGTAAGTTTTCGAGGAATATCTCCGAATCTAAGAGAGATACAGAAATTTTTATAGAATCTTTTTTACAGGGCACATTCTACTCTGCAAAAAAGTTTATTATGAAAATTTCGGTATCTCTTTTAGATTCCGAGATATTTCTTGAAGACTCAAACCTATCGATTTGTTATGGTTTGTCTTTTTGGTAATTGAGTGTTTGTTGTTAATTATTGAAGCCGAAATTACCTGACAAGTGTATTCAACGTTTGGTACGATACACTTGCAGGAAGCTCGTTCATGACAGACTGTAATTCTATCAGGGCAGATATTACCAGCTTCATGACATCCCACCGTTTGATTGCCCGTAAATCCTGGAAGACAAGGGCCACATCTAAACGAGCCCTGAAATTATAAAAAAAGAAAAAAACCAAACGAAATTAAGTAATATGATTGCAATTACGTCATCCCACATTTTCGGCGAGACTTTAATTTCCCATGGAAAAGATCTAGAAATCGTTATTTCACTCACAAGTGATTAATTCTCGAGACAATTAAAATAGTTCTTCTAAATTATATTCATTAATATTTAAAATATTGATATTTTCTCTTCTCATAGAATCAGGTTTGATTTTTTTATTGTCAATGGAAAAAGTATTGAATTCTGCTTTTCGTTCATCTTCTTGGAAAATTCAATAATTAATAATAATTATCATGATTTAGTGGAGTGTTCTGCATTTTTTTTACAGTTTTTTTATTAGAATTTTCGATTTTTAGGGATAATTTAGAATGGATTGATGAGAAATATTGGTTTGAACTCACCTCAGTATTAATGCACTGAGAATTGGGTACACATCCAGCATTTCGTCCATCATTGCACTCGTTGACATCCACACAACCAGATCTGGAGCCTCGGAAACCCGCAGGACACTGTACGCATCTATCGACGGGCAGCAGGCATTTACACCGAATTTGGGTGGGTAAATATTGACTTATTTATTGATCACCCATCCATTCTCTCACTCAATTTCACACCTCCATATTCACAATTTGTAGAAAATAAAGCCCTAAACTCCGTCGGAACGATCAATTCAGCATCGAAGTGGTAAATGAAATGGCAATGACCCTCAAACACCGATAAATCTCAAAATCCATAGACTCTACGAGAAAATATCAGAAGACATTTTTCATCGAGTATTTAATAATCTCCAAAAAAGTCCTCTAGTATTTTCCTCTCAAATCGATAGCTTCCGAGATAAATCGACAACTACTATTTAATTCCATTCATAAACTCCAGTGAACGATTAATCAATGATTGATAATTAATAAAAAAATGAGAATTCAACAATAATTTACAACTTCGTTCCAGAATAATTATTCTCTTTATCTAAAAGGGGAAGAGGAACGTAATAATTAAATTCGATCTATCTTATTTTCACAATATTTTTCCTTTCGAATACCTTTTTTTATGTAATTACAAGTATTTAAGTACAAGTAGAGGAGTGCAGAGACGAAGAGAAGAAAAAATTAATCTTTTAAACTGTGAAAATGAACAATACGATCTCACGAATTGAGAAGTGCAATAAATCGTTGAAATTTAATGTATCATCTCATTTCATTGATCGAGAAAAAAAAAATTTGATAGACAATCTCGAAAGGATTAACTCCACAGCGTCAGGATAATTCTACGTGCTCATATTTCTAATAATTGTTCCAGGTTGGACGGTCGCACCTGTAAGACCCCGGTGTGTTCTTGCACTCCTGCTGTGGCCCACAGGGATTGTGAAGATCGCACTCATCAACGTCACGACATTCAGATCCAACTAGGACGAAACCAGAGAGACAACCCTGACACCGGAAGTAAGGATGCTCCTGGTGAGGATGACAGGAGCCACCGTGACCACAGGGATTTCTCTCGCAGTGATTCATAACCCGGGAACAACGCTCCCCGTCACCGGTGAATCCTGGGGGACAGGATCCACATCTAGGGGAACGACAAATTAATTCTATTCCATTTGTCCATTCAATTAAACATCTGATTACGTCTCTCACAGATGAAAATATGAATCTGCTAGTTCTATTTAATGCAACTGAATTTATTTTCCCAGAGGGTAAGAAATATTTTATTTATTTTGTTTAATTAATTTTATCGACGAAGTTACGGTTAGCTTATTAGTAATTTTGAATAATTCATCTGTTTGTCATAATTTTTTCTCTGAAGGGATTATTTAATTTGATCGAAAAAAAAAATTTATTGGAGTCTCTAATGACTGATTTTTCCTAAAAATTCACAGCAAATGAAGAATTAATAATGAAATTCTCGGAATTTCCGTTTAAAATATCTAATTTTTTCCAATTAAGACAACTAATTTCTTCATAATTATTTCAGATAATTAACTACATAGATGAGTAATTACCTGTAGCCTCGACTGGAGTCTTCACACCTGACACCCTGGAAGCATGGATTTTCCTGGCAAGTGCGAACCCGTTCACACTGGATGCCATTTCCCATCCAACCTGGAGGACAGACACAGGTTGGACCTGAGACTGTGTCCCTGCATGCAGCAGCTGCATGACAATGCGGTGGATTGTAGCTGCACGTTGGTCGAGGTGGAGGTGGAGGTGTCGTCGGCATCACTACAATTCCAAAAAAAAAAGAAATCGATTCCAAATTCCCGTAACTGCCAGAAATGTAAGGAACACTAATTTAACTAATTAATTAATTAGATCACCGATGAATCCTGGCTTGCAGGCGTTACACTCCTCCACAAGCTTCCGGATGTACCGCGTCTCCTGAGTCTGTTAAAAAAAATGAATTCCTCATTCTGGACTTTTATTCGGGTCTTTTTAAAAATTATTCACATTCATTTCTGTGACTCACGTTTATCTGAAGCTCTTCCCAAATTCGTTTCGTAAATTCAATTAGTGAATTCAGGGTTTTTATTAACGTACGCTCGCCGATGCAACCGTCTGGAAAAAAAATCGGTTCAGAATATGATTTTTGAAGAGGAGATGACTTTTTTATAATTTTTTATAATATCTCCATCGACGTACTTATTTCATCGATGGTGTGGATACTAGGCTGATCTCCTCTTCTCCTCACTCTCGTGGAGACGTTGCTACTGGCAAAATCGTAATCGACGTCTCGTAAATTATTTGAGAGACAATCCGCATGTTTCCATCCGTCTCGGATCCTCGAGCCCCTGTAGATCTTCAGGCTGTACTTTCTCTCCCTGAACTAATAGACAATAATTATTAATTATTGTAATAACATCATTATAATAGTTAAAAGTCTTTTATTGATGTGATCTAGTCAGTAGGTGGATTAGAATAGAATTAAGGAACTTCCTCAGGAAAGAAATCCTTTATTTATTCTCTAATGGGTAAAAAAGGGATAAATTGATGTTTTATTCATCGGGAGAAAGTCTTGGGAGATAAAAGTGAAAATCCTGGCGAATTGGAATTGAGTGTAGACAAAAATCGTGGGCGAACTCCAGATTGATTCCTCAATCTCTTCATTCCATATTTAGAATCTAGTCCGTCCCACGAGAGTTGAGACTCGCAGACGCAGTCAGTGCACCTCCTGCATTCATTTTTATTATTTTATTTGTTTTTTATTTATCGGGATAAAAATCGGGGGATGACAGTCTTGCGGATACGCCCATATTTGTGCTACTGAGATTGGGAAATTCAGATTGAGATTTCTGGGTTAGTCTATTTATCAAGTGCGTGGGTGTAGCCTGAAAATATTCTCTCATTGTGTTTAGTAATTGTGTGATTATCTCGGTTATGAGTGGTTTTCGAGAAAAATGTCACTCCACTTTTTTTGTTGAGAATTCAATTTTCCACAAAAAACTCCAATAACATTTTCCTCTAAACCCGATAATTTATCAGATAATCCCGAAATAAAATTACACCAGTCGAAATTTCAAGGAGTTTTCACAAATTTCCATGGGTTTTGATAATTACGTAATTATTTCGGTAATGAGCGGTTCTAGAGAAATATGTCATTGAACTTTTTTTTTAGAGAATTGAATTTCCTATAAGAAAGATTTATCTCATTTTTACGGTAACATTGCTAGTGTTAGGGTTTTGCCCCTTTGAATCTTTCCTCTTTCAATTACCACTTGGAAAGTCGATTCCTCCAGTCGCTGATCCATGGCCTCTCTGAATGTCACGTTCAGGGGAATTGATCCAATTAGATGGCAATCGACATAAACTTCCATTTTGGAATTCGGCTTTTTCTGGTGAACCATGAAAATTATAGTTCTCTTCGGTTCAGAACCATTCACGATTCCTATTTCTATTTCTTGTCTTCCGTCGCTCTTGTCTATTACAGTCTCCAAAATGACTAAAAAATACATATTAATCTATAATTATCAATTACTATCAAAATCTTGAGTGAATGGAATTAAAGGAATTAAATGATGAGTGGTAAATTGTTACAACAAATCGTCTTGGAGTTTATTACCTCGATCCAATGTAGAATCAAACATGAATAGAAATTTTGTTGTGGGATTTCCATATTTGGTCGCCATGAGGGTCTGTTTACCCGCATGATGACTGAATTTTTTCTCCCGTGGATGTCTTACGACAATTGCAAAGACATCGTCATTCTGAGCTTCTTCAAAACTCCTAGTTAAACCTGAAGAAAAAATGTAAAAAACCATTATTATTCGACAGTAGCTCCGCAGGCTTCGGCAATTCTTCAATTACCTTAATACCCAGTGATTTTACAACAAAACATCAATAAACTTTTTTTTAGGTAATCAAATTCCCCATAAAAAAGTCTAATACCATTTTCATCCAAACTCAATAATTTTCGAGGTAATTCGAAAATTACAGATGAACTCTCCAAGCTTCCGGAAACGCTTTCCACTTTTGAGGGTTCAGTAATTATCCAATTATCTCGGTAACGAGCGGTTTTTGAAGAAAAGTGGTATCAGAATTTTTTATAGAGAATTAAATTCTCCGTGAAAATCATTTGTGACATTTTTTTCTGGGACCACTCGTTATTGAGATAATTGAATAATTGATGAGTGCATTAAGGAGGCAACACAGGTAATGAAGTGATTATGAATTACTTAGCGGATTATTTTGTAATTCAAAGAGGAGAAAAAATCCATCTCTCAGGATTTATTCTTTCAATGATTCATCGAAGTCTGATTTAATCGTTAGTCATTGAGTGAATCAAGAACAAAAAAATATCTCGTTGCATCATTTCAATCGAATCAGTAACTCCAGTCTCTCAACATCATCATTCCTCCTATGGTAATTAGAACAATTATGAGTCCTGCGTGGGTCAATCAATGGTGGAAAATAATTAGCCCACAGAAAAAATTATAACACCCGGAGAAATGAATTGGAAAAAAATTCGTTATTATTCCAATCTCTCAATTTGTTTTTTGATGAAAAAAAAATGGATTGCACGATTATTTAATGGACAATTGGATAGATGCACTCACGAGTGTTAAATACCGTATAAAATCAAGACTTTGACCCAAATACTGGACCCCAATTGCTCAATAAATACATCGCATTTGTGACGATTCGTTAGCTCAAAGAAAACCGAGTAATTACAATTTCCCTTTTAGTAAAGTTACGAACTATGAACCACTGCTAGTGCGTTCACTGCATCATTACCTATTTGAGCGAAACCGTTATAAACAAAAGGAGATATCGTAACGTTCGATGAATAATAACGTTTTACGTTATTCCATGAATTTAGAATAAAATCTTGTGAATAAAATCCGGAAGAATTTAAATTGAAAAAAAAATGTCAGATGGAAAATTCATTATCTCGGCTGTCAATGATTTTACAGGAAAATGTCACTTGAGTTTTCTTTTGAAAATTGAATTTGCTGGAAAAAAGTAAAATAACATTTTTCTCTAAACCCTATAATTATTTAGATAATCTCGAACTAAGATCAATTCTCCAAAACTGTTGGGATTTTGTTTGATTATCGTGGATTATGATAATTACGTAATTCTCTCCGTAACTAGCATTCGTAGAAAAAAATGGTATCAGACGTTTTTGTAGACAATGAAATTCTCCAGAGAAAACATTATTACTATTTTTTAGTGAGGCCCATAATTAACGAGATATAGAAGTAATTACAGTGTGAATTTTTTTGTGAAGTGGAGAATTCGGGTTTTTTTGTGATTTCCATTTGTTTATTTCCACCGGTTGTTTATGAAATAATAATAGAGTTGATTGAACTCATTCAGTGACCGTGGAGACAACCAACTATGTAACTACCGGAATTTTCTCGCAAAGGGGAGACTGGTTTTCGCTTTTTGGTTGCACGTGAGATGCCGCAATGTTGCTCTCTTTATTTATTTATTTAATGCATTTTTATTTTTGACAAACTCCCATGACCCGGGAAGACATGACGACTGTTTTTCATAGTTAGCATCGGGATAGTTATAAATATCCAGAGTGTTATGTTTCCGTGAATAAGAATAGACAGTTGGCGTGCGCTGGAGAAGAAATCTGTTTGTGGAAAAGAATGAAAAAAAATTGGGGCCTTTCCCCGAAAACCAAAATAAAAATCTCAAACTCTCCAATCATCGACATAAATAATCGCCGGTTAATTAATTAATCTAATAGTGATTTACTGATCTAGAGAGTTCCATTTCTAATTTATTAATCGAGAGGAAAATCATTTAATTCGATTTCCGAGTGATTTATTTTTACAATTTGACCTAAAAAAATTATCTTCATTACCCACTCGACCTCTTCGAAGAGTTTATCATTGATATTACCCCCAGGACGCCAAAAACTCGCGAAAAAAAAAACGCAAACACAAAATTATAACACCACACTTCGCTGATTTTTTTCCCTCCATTAAACGTGGGATTATCTCGATAAAAAATGGCTCTACGATAAAAAGTGATAAAAAATTTTTTGTGGAGACTTAAATTTCCCACGAAAAATTCCTTTGAACTTTTTCAGTGTGACAAACGGTTTTTGAGATAATCGGGTGATTAGCGAGAATATCGAATATGAGTTATTTTTCCATGATATCAATTGTTGTATTTAATTAATTTATTAATTACCTTCGTCGTAGGTGATTGCGATAACAATTACCGAAAATGTTGTAAGGAGGAGGGTAGTTGCCACCCCCCTGAGTCCCACCATCACGATTAAATCGATAAATTATTTATGAAAAACACCAGTTCTTGGGGGTCACTCCAATTAATTACTGTTTTTTAATTATAATAATTATCCGTAATGCACTTTACTTGAGGAGACGCGTGTGGTAAACGGTCAGCATCAGCACTGGACCGAAGAAACTCATTCCACTGAGTTTTATACGGCGCCCACGGCTCATGTATTTATTTTTATATTTATTTTTCTCACGTTTTGGTTTTCCTCCGTTGTGATCCGTAAATAGGAGGAATGAACACGTGGAGATGTCGGAATCATCCGGAAAAACAGAAATCCGAAAGATTTTCATCCGAGAATTCAGGAATGAAAATTAATTTCCCGGAATTCACTCCGTAATCATCATTTTATTGTCTTTCGTTTATATTATCCATTTATCTTCAAAACTATCGACTCAATGGGAAAATATCTAATGACTTCTTTTATTGGTCGATAAATTTTGGACAGAAAAGGTCTTCTCATATTTTCGGTTAAAATCAATATTTTTTAAGATTAATCGATGTTTTGAAAAAGTGCAAAATTCGAATTTTCTGATTTTTCGGATTTACTCCGGAATTGTTTATAACAAAAAATTGTTTTCTTCCCACAATTTGATTTATCTATTGCGATTTCATTTTATTCGGTTCCTATCTTTACCATTTATAATTAATTCCACAAATTAATTTCCTACGAAGATTTAGTGAAAATATTTATAGACTTTTTATTTGTTTAATACAGCATTCGTGAATTTAAAAATGAAAAAATTCGTCTTGCCCTTTCCATTAAAGTGAAAACTCCTCCCAAAATTGAATAAAATCCCATGCTCATTAATTTTTATTACCATTAAAATTAAGAGTCAAGAAAATTCTCGTTGGAGTGTATGAGAATATGTGGGAAGTGGTTCCACCCACCATCTTGAATCCACTAATTACTCATTAAACAAGAGACATAAAATGAAATACGAATAATAGCTCACCATTTCGACTCGAAGAGATCCACCAGAAGCCTCCACTGGTTTATCAATTAAAAAATTCCACTATTTTTACTAATTAATTTAACTCCTCAACACTGAGTAACAGACTTCCACAATAATTAATCCTCTCTTTTAATTAATTAATCTTCTCTCTAAAAATTCATTACCGCCTCGTCCCACCACTGAATCAGTGATTTTCAATTATTAATAAATTTTCTGCTCTCAGAAGTCCCCAATAATTAATTGGGATTGATTATCGGACTAATTATAGAAATTCAGTGCCGATTTATACTCCGACGATTTTTCCTCACACTCTCCCGTTGCCGACTGAAACCAAAATATCTAAATATTTTCATTAAAAAATTGCTGCAATGAAAACAACAATCCCAACAATAAATGCCACCCAATGAATTAATTAAATCAACAAAAAAAAATGATAAACATTCAGTAATCTCTCTCCAATTTTTAATACAAAAAAAAATCTACAGAACATTCATGTGATTGAAAAATTAAATTAACTAACAAACAAGTGTCAAACATCCATAATTACTTCATAATTCAATGATAATTATTACTGGCGAGTTTTTAAATAGAGAAAATTGAGATAATAAAGAAAATCGAGAAAATAAATGATGCAATAACGATTAAGTGAAATACAATTTATTTCTTAATTTCCAAATGATTGATTGGAATGATAAGGGGTGATAAGGGATCAATCGAAAATTAATGAAGAGTCTGGAGTGGCTCTCGGTCTTACTGTCATGATTTTTCCTGATGGTGTGTGACAGCTGATTGTCGATGTCGAGGGAAACATCTGCTTCTGGAATTTCCTCGTGAAGACTAGGCTCCAGAGAGCCTGTCTCTGGACGCTTCCATGACACACGACATACGACATTTTCTACTGATGTCTTCTTGCCAATTGTTCCTCCATGCTGCGATGTCGAGTTCTGAAAATTTTTATCTATTCATTTTACACTGATCTTTTGGAAATTCATTAAGAGCGCTTCTTCGAATTTCCAGGTTTTATATTTAAAAATTATTTTTTGGGACAGATAAAGCGGTTTTTTATTTTACTGGTGATTTTGGTTTTATTTTTGGGGAAATGTCACGGGAATTCCCGTGGAATGGAAATTTAGTCAGATTTTAGGGGAAATTATGAGGAAAATTCAAATGATTAGGTTTTTAGTGGAATTTTATTTTATTTTTCAATGAGAAATTTTCATTTCTCATTTTGCAGTGTTCGATTTTTGGTTTTAATTCCATGGGAAATGTGACGGGAATTCTCGGGAAATGGAATTTTATTGGATTCGAGAAAATGATGAGGGAGTGTTATTTTTTTTAGTGGAACATGAAGTTTTTATTTCCTGTTAACAACTCAATTAAATTCTCTGAACGAAAATGCTACGAACTTTTAATTTCCTCAGAATTTTCCTGGTTTTCATCATTACACAGAGTAATTAATTTAAAAAATCAAGAATTCCCTTGATTTTCAAATAATTTAAGAACAAAAACAATGAATTCTTTAATTTTCAAACAAGATTTCCTGTTGTGATTTTCAATGAAAATCAAAAACAATAAAAATTCCCAGTACCCATTCCTGCAAATGCATAAACAATTTTAAACTAACAAACACCTAGAATAATTATTACACAACAAAACAAAGATGAGAGAAAGATTATGTATGGGAAAAATAACAAAAAAGTCGATTAAAAAAATGATAAAAATGTCGTTTAATTCTACAAATAATTACAAACAATAAGTTACGAGAATGAATAATCTTTGGTGAACCATTGAATAAATAATTTTAAAAAGAATTGGTGAAAATCCGGTGCGCGGTGGAAAAATCATTCACCAGGATTTTTCTTTGGATTCATCATGAACACATATCCTTTTACAATGAATTATTATCAGTCGACGAGTCTTACTGACAGAGATAGTGGTGTTACCCGGGTCTCAAGGGTGGGTGCTCTCATGGGTTTCTACAAGGATTATCGAACAAATGAAACAGCAAATGAAGAGATAAATGATGGAGAAAATTCAACTGACACTCACTTTGTTATTCCTCCGGATGTTGAAGGCACCGTAGACGATGGGGTTCATGCAGGAGTTGGTGCATGCAAAAATGAAGAGACCCTTTTGCACACGGAGATCCACTGCTTTCGCACTTTTCGGGTCAATCCAGTACCTGAATCGATAAATCAATTAGTCAATTCGGGGAATTAACACTCAAAAATCAAATCTTGATGGATGTACGCCCATTTTTCTCGAAGTTCCGTTATATAAATAAAAGTTCAACTAATTTTTTCAGGATTTTATCATTTTTTTAAAGTAATTGAGTGGATAATTAATAAATTTTTTATTTAGTTATGCAAAAAAGAATAGATAAATAATACTCTTTAATTGATTTATCCCTTAATTTGTTTATATAAATTTAATTCATCTATTAAAATTCTTTCCTCTCAATTTTCATGATTTTCAATTATAAAATCTTCGGGAGATCCGTTCAAATATTTGTGAAGCGAGACGTCAATTTCCTCTGAGTTTTTCCATGAAAAACGATTTGTTATTATTTATTAATTATTATTATCACTCACCACATGCACATTATGTAGTATGGAGTCCAGCAAATGAAGAAAACTAAAATAATGATGATCGTCATCTTGAGGGTCCGTATTTTAGCCTTCCCCAGAAAGCCCAGCGATGACCTCCGTATTCTGTCTAAATGTTAAACAATTCCTCATTGTCGTTAAAACTTTTTCACTCAATAATCTTCATGACATTCTAATCATCACACGATAATAGCAAATTTTCCCGCCGCAATGAATAATTGAATTCAATAATTTAATTACACAGAAAATTAAATAAGTCATCACTAATGAATTAATTACCTAGCCAATTTCCTAATTACAATATATAATCAATTGCAAATTAAATTGTTATAATGTTCATAGAGATTTTAATTATTCACACAATTATCTACATTCCCTCGCAAGTAAATGCAGTAAGAATTAATTTGAGAGAAGTTTATTATATCTCTCAGTGCATTTTCAAAATTAATTTCTGAATTTGGAATGAATTGTATGAATAAATATTTATTTCAATTCTTTCTGGATATATTTTTGGAAACGGAACGGATTTTCTCTAGGTGATCTTTTTTATTGGGATTTCACTACTCACCGTGCATTGACGCTCGTGATTTTTTATATATTTCCAGTAGAATACTGGAGTACGTGAAGATGATTACAATCAAGGGGATGCAGTACGTCATTATCATACCAAAAAGGGAGTACGTTAGTGCATGACTGTCATTCGCGAATGAATTTAGGGTGATGCACTGTGCGTAGTCCGTGAAGTTGGGGTGGATTTCCACCCGGAAAACCATCATCTGAGAAGAAAATCAATTTAACAATTAAAACACTGAAAAATTAATGCTAACAGAATTATAATTATATTGTATTTTTCTTTATTCAATATTTTTTATTTATTTATTTAATTATCATTTCCTGATTTTCTGATTTGGGATTCTATTATTATTTCATGATGTAATTGATTTTAATTAATTATCGTTTAATTGATTTAATTGATTTTCATTATAATTATTGTCGTATTTTCCACGAAATTATAACTCTTTCCTATCAATTATAATAAATTAACGAAGATTAGTTCATTCAATAATTTGAGATGGCAATAATTTTTTGCGGGATTCATTAGAGAATTATTGTTACATGTTCCATGAGGTTTGAGAAAATCCGGGAAAATTTAACCGACCTGGGGTGCTGAGCACAGGATAGCCCCCATCCAGGCCCCGATGAGCATTATTTTTCCTCTCCTGTCGACATCCATCAGTTGCAGGGGTTTGAGGACCGCGTAATACCTGTAGCCAGAAGAGAAAGCATGAGAGAAAAAAGAAGCAGTTGATGGTATTTAGTCGACGCTATTTATTTACCTATCGACGCTGATGCAAACGAGAATGATTGACGATAAATAAATCCCAAACATCCGAAAAAATGCCATAATCCGACACATGGCATCCCCAGCCCACCAGGAAACCGTAGCTGCCCACCCGATCTCCAGAGGCATCATGAGGACCGCCACCTGGAATCATCCCGCGAATCATTAAATCAGAATCACCAGGTTTTCGATAATCAGAAAAATCTTCCAGATTTCTTCTCATTATTCCGTCATTATCTCGAGACCTATCAGAGTTAACGAAAAATGGAATTTAACTTTTTTGTGGGAAATTAAATTCTGAAGAAATAATGTCTTATTGTGTGTCTCGATGGAAGCTAGGGTTCTCGGGATATTTCGGGGTAAAGAGACTGACATCATCCAGCGAATCATCAAATCAGAGAAACCTCTGATTTCTCCTCATTATTCGTCATTATCTCGAGACCTATCCGAATCAGCGAAAAATGGAATTTAACTTTTTTGTGGGAAATTAAATTCTGAAGAAATAATGTCTGATTGTGTGTCTCCATGGAAGCCAGAGTTCTCGAGATATTTCGGGGTAAAGGATGTGTGGGTTACCAGCAAGTCAGCCACTGCCAGGTGCACCAGCATCGTGTCGATCCTGGAGCGATTGGATCTCTTCCTCTGCAGGATCAGGTACAGGACTGTACTGTTTCCAATTATTGCGATGACCATCTGGATACTGTAGGCAATGATACTCAACACGTGACCCTCGTTGAATCTCATCTCGATGGGAAGTTCTGGACTAGTTTTATTTACTCCGAGGGACATCCTCGCGTCTCCTTTTTCCATTTTATACAATATAGCAGCTACAATTAAATATATAATCGCAATATTGAATAATTGTTGAATCGAATAGAACCAAAAACATAAAAATAAATAAAAAATCTACATAAAATTGAGAGAAAATTGAAAATATTCTCGGAAATTCTGAAGTTTTCCTTCACTTTCTCGTTAATTAATTTTTTAATTCGATTTTTTGTGCCGTCCTCTGATATTCTAAAGAATTAATAATAAATAGACAATCCATAATTAATTATAATAAATGGGAAATTGATGAGATGCAATTGATTCCATGAGATCAAAAAAGGAATTCTTATCATCAATTTTTCAAAATGTTCCACGCGCAGATAAATTCTAATCATTCTTTAATTTTTCTAAAATCTATTTATTTATAACTATTTTATCTCCGTAAAAATCAGACTGGAGTCGTGTTCACAACTTTTCCCGATTATTCATTAAACAAAATGAATTCCACTCACAGATAAATGCGAATACATTAAAAAAATATCTCCACTGACCCGAAATTGTTGAAAATTTACCAAATGAAAATAATAATTGTTAAGAAAATATTCCACTCACAGCCGAGTTAAAAAAAAATATACACCAGTGACTGGGTAATTAATTTATTTCCGATAAATTGGATCTAATGATTTATTTGACAAGTAGAGAATTGCGTTGAAGTATTTTTTTATGTTTGAATTACTTCACTGGTTGGAGATGTGGTAAATAGTGGAACCTCTTCTTCTGGGGTGTGTGTAACCACTGGTTCGAGTACTTGAAGTCTTACCCGATAAACCATTGAAATAAAATCCAAAGGCGCCCGCGCATCACCTCAGGCTTTTGCGCTGAATGATTGTTGATGAAAAACACACACTCCCAAGGTCTCAAATCAGAATGATAACATCCCCATCCTCGCACTGCATTAAAATCAATTTTTCCCCAAGAAGTTTAACACAAATATTAACGGGAGTAATAAAAATGATGTATCGATGTATTTCACTGACTTATCTGGGCACTTTGACCAGAATTATCATTCGATCATCGGGGGAAAGTATCAATTAGAGAGTTCAATTGATTGATCATTTGGCATGAAGTTGAGGGGATGATGGAGAGAGATTCTATCGCGTTTTGCTCCTGACAAATTAATCCGTTCTCCAATCAGGGGAGCAATTGCTCAATGATTATGCAAGAGGAATCTCACGTGATGCCTCAAAACACTCGTGTTTAAACCAGTTTCAGAGGTAAATTATTTCCATCAATTGCGGATGAAAACTGTGTATTCAGGCTGTCTTGATCTTGAAGTGGATCGATGTAAACCGAGTGATGTGAGTTCAAAGTTCGTAAATTAAACATTTCGTTGCGAGGCATTTGCTGATAACACTCGACCATCAAAAATAGATGAGAACTATTGGATTATTGAACTTCAATCTTCGAGAAAATTATTTTTTTATTTTCCAATTTTTTTTTATACTTATCTTGAGAATTAATGAATTAATGAATTGATGAATTGATGAATTGATAAATTAAGACGTTCCAGAATCAATTAGCGAGTCTCAAATTAAACCACGAAAAATTGTCACTTTCAAGACCTTGAAAATAATTATCACCTTTCAATTTCGAAAAATTTCCAGTTAAAACCGTAAAAAACCGTAAAATACCATACAGCCATAATTGAGGTCATGTCTCAAAATAATTGATCTCCGGTTAAAAAAAATTTATTTAATCGAATCTTCCTGGATTTTAGGGCAGAAACGAGTACTCGGGTTTATTTTCTTGCCGAAGAGGATGAATTCATTGGTATCACCGTGAATTATCCCAGCGTGTGTCCAATAACGTCAATTTATAACTGCTCAAACGAGTATTATGTCTACAACCCAGTGAATTATCGACACTTGTTACTGGATGGGGCGCAATCGTCTTCGCAGGAACAATTGCAATGGCGTAACGAGAAAAAAAAAAATTAGGTGAAGTAGACCATTTATTTTTTCTCGTTATTATTTATTTATCGGATTCACCAGCTATCTTGATTCTCGTTATATCAGTGTCCTTGATAAGAGCGGTCTGACATTCTCATTTCGTCCTGACACCGCTGTTCTCTCCAGGGGAATCCCCGGCTTTTCTCATCACTCGAGTTGACGGGAATAATTCGAACAAGCGATTTTTACGGTACCGGATTTTTCTTGATGTTCACTGAACAATCCGATTTTATTCACCGGTAATTACTTCTCAGAAATTATTTCAGTTGATAATTTTTTAATTAAAATTATTTATTTATCATTAAAAATCCCTTGATTTTCGAATATCGATTATCATGGCATGAATTGTAAATAAACAATTGCTCGGATTTACTGGAATTACGGCTTATAATAATTTTCTGAGATATAAACAAATTCCCTAGAAATATTTTGACGAGTAATAATTAATAATTAATACAAATCCCCAGATAACAATCATTAATTAAAATGATAAACCATATGAAACTCGTCATTTTTATAATTCTCTAAGTACTCACTCACCTCCGGAAAAGTCGACTCGATAAAGACTCGGAAAACTCGGAAAACTCGGAAAACTCGGGAAAAACGAAAAATAAAAAACTTCAAACTTGAACTAAATAATAAATCACGTGCCTGAGGAGTTGAACTTTAATTGCACTTTACTTTACTCACAAGAAAGCCCCGAGAAAAAGCAATTGCGAAGAAATTCCATCGAGATTTTCACTTGATCACAATTTCCCGCGGGTTTTCCCATTAAAATTCACAGCTCGATCCCTCCGAAATTTGATTCCTCTCTTTCCCAATTATTCTATTCTCCAGATAAAATCCAATCAACATATTTATTCGATCGACAGTCGATTCCACACTGGACCGAGATTATCGAGATGGGACTTATGTGTTTTTTTATTTTTCCCGCGTCATGCGTTAGCGCAATAATTTTATTTACACAATTGGATTTCTCGCGAACTCTAGGTGTTTAATTCGATCGATCTAGACATGATCGATCGATGGGAGAAGTACGTCTGAAGGGTTCAATTAAGCGTTTCTGACTTCGGCCTCTTGGATATTGACACCGTGTCAAGGGTCAAGTGTCAAATGATAGCACCGGACAGCTTCTGAATCTCAAGGGACGTGAGGAAATTAGAAGATTGTTATTAATGCTGCACTTGTGTCTTTTTTTTTCGCGTGATTAATTGGATGCTATCGCGGGCTAATCAGCTGGTAGTGATTTTCCGTTGTCAAACATTTGTTGGAAGATTATTTAGGAAATTATTCTGATTATTCAAATATTTTAGCATTCGTCTCCGGTTTTATTCACGATTTTTCTTCTGGTTGTTATTGAAATAAATTTATTGGTTATTTATACGGGAAATTATTGTATATTTGTCGGAATTTGTTGCTTGAATAATTAAATATTAAAATCAGAATTTTTCCTAATTAGAGGAGAAGAAATCAAGAAATTTGTCAACGCCTCCCAGAAATCTTCTATTATTTATTTATACAATCAAAATATTGAAAAAATATCAATCTTTTATAAAATCTAATTAAGGTAATCGGCTCTGATTTTTTTTTCAATTTTTTCTCGCGTAATTAAATTAACAAATTAAAAACCCGAAAATATTTCAAGCTCCAGCTTCTTCACCAGTTTTGGAGGAATATCTCCTGATATACCGGAAATATAAAAATTTTTGTAATGACCTTTTTTATAGATCTGAATTACCGCTACAAAAGTTGTCATAACGAGAATTTCGATATCTGCCGTAGATTCTGAGATTTTTCATTGTTTTCATGGTGAAGTGATTTGCAGATGATTCGAGTGCTGGGAACGTCGCAAATCAGTGAATGACAGTTCGGGGAAATGATTAATTTATTTGTCAATTGTAAATTGATTGGGATTTCGCATTGGAATGGTGAATCACTTGGTGAAAATAATTCGATTAAGGATTATTCGTTAATGATGATGACTATTGAGGATCCGGGAGCAACTAATCACTGATAACCCGACGGTCAATATCCAAACGGATGGAAATCATTGGGTGATGATTACAGAAGTTTTTCTATTTTTCTATTAATTAATAAATTATACAGACAAAATACCAAAATTTTTACGTGTTTATTATCAAACGTCAAATCGAGTCATCAGAAATTTATTTGTTTATCTGTTTTTAATGCAATAATCCAATGCAATAATAATTAAACACTTCTGATATATCATGAATAATTTATTTATGGGAAAATGAAAAAAAAGTTAATAATATATTAATTATTGATGAAATTCTGTTGAGAAGTGGAAAAATAGAACAAGCACATTTTTTTCGAAGCCGTTTTTAGCGGATATCTTGGAATTGAAGGGAGATAGCGATATTTTTTATTATATACTTTTTGTAGGGAAAGGTGAGGGCTATGAGAAAGGTCATTATGAAAATATCAATATTTTTCTTCAATCAGGAGATATTTGGAAAATTCAGCTCGGGCAAATATTCGGTGATTCTAATTTCCCATTTTGCATATCGAATTGTTTTTCGTGGGTTCAGGGGTAATAAAATTTATCATTTCCTCAGCTCATGGAAACGTCAGTCACTTGACCCCCGTGACGTGCCCCAATTGAATGATTTGTTCTAGAAAAATACCCCATCAATCACATCTTCACAAACCGAATGATTCGAAAACATTTCAAGAAATTTCTTCATTTTATTTCACTGATCCCAAAAAATCCGTCAAAATATCAATAAAATCTCAATAAAATAGAGAAAAATCGAGAAAATAATTGAAAGCAATACCACAATTAATAATCGATCATCAAAAAATTTTGAAATCGATTATTTTTCTATAATTGATTGAAAATTAAATTCACCGGAAGTTCCGCCGGAATAATTCAAGAAAAATCGTGTCGGGAAAAGGAAAATCCAATGAAGTGGAAGTAAATAAAAGAAAATTGGTTGTGCAATGCCGAACCAATTTCGACCTGCAACGATTTCCACTGAACAATCACCCGGTGTTAGCGGTATTCACTGGATTCGGTATTGAAATTGCGCATTTGCCAGAGTAAGTAAAGCAAAAGTGCTTTTACTTACACATTCGCTGGAGGATGAGCACTCGCGGTGAAGTACATAAAAAAAAAAAGAACCACAGGACCGAGTGAATGTTGCACGGTATATAAAGATGAGATTGCACCAGGGATGCTGCAATACTCGTGTACAGAGAGCAACACAACATACGCTTCAAGTGTCAGGATTTCAATTTAGTGCGAATTTTTTTCCCTTCGGAAATGTTTACGTTGCAGGTGATTATCATTTCTTTATCCACTGTCGTCATTATTTTCTATACAAACGTTTCAATCACTCATGACAATTTTTTCATTCAAAAATAATTTTTACACTTTATTCTAAAAAATATGTTTAATTCCAAATTTATCAGGATTTTCATTTAAATTCATGCCTTTTTCGTTAATAATATATTTATTGTTATTATTATTAGTATTATTATTGATTGATTATTGTATATTACAATAACAATGGAAATGACGAAGAAATTTATTTTTACAATGTGAAGTTTAATAAAACCACAACTTTCCTTAAAAAAATGGTGATAATGTGAATTTTTCAGATTTGTAATATCGATATCTCGAAAATGATCGATCTTAAGAGAAAAAATCAGAAGATCTTTTTTTTCATAAATTCAATCAGCTACAAAAAAGTTCCCTAAAGTTTCGACGTCAAATCGATAGTTCTCGAGATACATCGATAATTACCACGGGTGTCAGTTTCTCTCATTTCACTTCACGATTTCGCTGACTCGATCTTGCGATCAATCTCCAGATAATAAAACCACAAATAATCATCCAAACATAAAACAATTCTGTCCCACTGATCACCGACTCATCCATTATGCAATAGAAATATTTTCCATTTTTTTTTCGCGATTAAATAAGTGTTTACCCACTCGACTGGTGATTTACGAAGTGCAATTGTCAATTTTTTGTTGACGTTGACAGATAATTGCAGCTGTGGGATTGATCTCCGTGTCAATTGACGCTCAGTTCTACATGAGGTAATATCGTAATTGATTATTTGGAATTGCAACTGATTGAATTTATTTCCAGGCCAAGACCTTTCAGTCGCAGCATTCCGTGCGAAGAGGTAGGACCACCTCAAGGCAATTCCCAACAAATTCCAATTGCCTGTGCATTTGGAATTGCTGATGAAAAATTAGGAAGTGAAGACTCGAATCCACTTTACGTCAGAGTTTCTTCTCCGATATCTTATACGCCCCTCAGAAAGACCTCGTCTTTAGTTTATGTTGCGCCGCCGATTATTAAATCCTCCGGGTCTGTTATTCCACATCACAATAATCAACAACACCAGGTACTTACACAGAAATAATTGTCTTATGACATTTAAATTTCTCTTGACTACATTTCAGTCCATTCTTCGATGAAGACCTCCCCTGAGATTGCCGTTCCTTTTATTTATTTATTATTTTTTTTATTTCAATTATTTCTGAAATAGAAAGTTATTCAGAGAAAAATAATTGGTAAATAATTGGTAAAATTGCTAAATAATAGACATCCTGCGATTATTTTTTCATTCCAGTTATCGATTATTATTCATTTTAATTATTTTCCGGTGGTCGACTTTTTTTTTACGTGAAAAATGTGATTTTCACGGGTGAATTTTAATTCTCGTGATTTGGATTTCCCCCAGGAATACCCCAGATATTCCTTCAACTATGGGGTCCTTGATGGTTACACAGGGGACACGAAATCTGCGTGGGAGGAAAGAGACGGTGACACTGTGAAGGGAGAATATTCCGTGGTGGAGGCAGACGGTTCGATAAGAACTGTCACCTACACAGCAGACGATATCAACGGTTTCAATGCTGTAGTATCTAAATCAAAGCCCCCAAAACGTCCACCTTCCATCGAAAGCGTCAAGAGGTTCCTTCCCCTAGTGGGCGGCGAGTTCCACAGCATCAGACTAAAAAAATAGAGGACAACCTCCTATTTTGTATTAATTACGGATTTATCTCGGAAACTATCCATTTATCGAGAAAATCTTAAAAGACATTTATTGTCGACATTTAGATTTCCAGGAAAAAAGGTCTCTTGGTATTTTCTCCTGAAATCAATGGTTTTCTCTAAATAATATTGTAAAGTGCTGCGTCCAGCACATTTTTTATAATATTTTTTATAATTACCAATTAATCTAGTAGAATTCTTCGATAATAATGAAAAATTCTTCTGGATTTGTCTCGAGCATTCAGGGGATGAAAAGACTCAATAAGAAAAGAATGTATTTATTAAATTCACGATTGAGTAATGGAGTTCTGACAGTTATTTACAAGTAATTAATTACGGCATTTATCTAGTGATAATGAAATTGTAAATTTAAATCGAGTGAATTTCACAGTCACGTAACGATTCTCTGGAAAAAAAATGAACAGACAGTTCCTAGATCAATGAAAACACTTACAATTGTATAATTATCCTCAATAAATTCACCTCAGTCACTATTTCTCAAATTGTAATGTTCATGCACTTTGAAACAGTAAGAAACCTATAAAAGTCCTTACATTACCACTTGGATCACCAAAATTTTACGATAAAAATCCTAGTAAATACACGTTTATCCACAGAAATAATACTTTCATCGTCGTAAAAAGAAGAGAAAGGATAATTACTCGTATAATCTTCATGATTTTGATTATCTTCGAATTGCGAGAGATAAATTGAAATTTCATTGTTTATTATTATTATTATTATTTGTACGAGAATATTAAAAAATGCGAGAATCGACAACGCAAAATTTTCACGTGAAACAATTATTTCAATTTGTTTTTTTCTACCTATTCCGAGCTCTCTTGTTGCTACTCTTTTTAGCACTATTCGAGGATCTGTTTTTGTTCGACTCTTTACTATTTCCATGTCCATCTTTAGCTGGTGTAGAGACATGTTCAATTCCCCCATTGGACATTGGACCATTAGTCAATGGTGTCGATTCACTAATTGTCCCGTTATTCTGGGAATAACCGGATTGTATCGACGTGTGATTTTTTCCACTCGAGTCTTTGCTATTTCCTGATGTCACAACATTTGAATTCGTATAGTTGCAATTATCCTCACTCCCGCTGTTTCCCATCTGTGACTCCGACTCACTGTATCGTTCAACTAAAAATGAGGGGTTTTTTAAACTAATTAACTAATTAATGGTGATGACCAATAATTATGGAGACGTGGGGAAACGAATTGAGCGCCTCAATTTGAGAATTACGGAAATTAATCGATAAAATTAACGAGACAATTGCATAATTCACAGATTGATGTGATAAACTCATTGGGTTTCACCATTTGTGCTCCAAATTATCTGCTACTTAGGAATGACGATGTGATTTTATAGTTTGATCATTTAATTCTCAATTTTTTATAAGGAAAATACGAAAACCACCACCTGGAGCAAAAATAATGACGAAAAATAACGAAACTACCACCAGAAATGCGAAAGAAATATGAAACATTGGAAAGAAAAAATCAATATCGGTGTCATTATTTTCTCTATTTAATTTTGAAGACTAGACTAATCGTACATAACATGAAATAAAAATAATAACCATGCACTCGCCACCAGATAATGAATAAAAAAATTCAACAAAAGTCCTCACAATCTGATTCAGATTTAACCAAACACTTCTCGAAATTATCTACGAGACATAATAAAAATCTAGCCAGAAAAATTGATGCTAAAAGTTAAATCTCAATCTAAAAAAATTATAATCAAAAAAATAAATCAGAGCAGAAGTAATTGAATTTTTAATATCCATTGAGGTCCTTACTTTTTTCCTGGGGATTTTCCACTAGACCGCTGACAGCCTGCAATGAAAATAAAATAGCTCGACTGAATTATTACTTCATTAAAAAAAAAATAAAGATTAAACATTTCAGACTCACAGCCATGGATGTAATGGAAGATTTCGAAAATAATCTCTCAGCCTCTTTAAATTTTCTATTTCTCTTGTCAGCTTTACTATTCGTATTTTTATTACTCGCTAAATATCTGTCCCACCCTCGAATGATATTTCCATAGAGTTGGGTATCCTCGAGATAACTTCCCTCGAATGCATAAATCTGCCGCTCCAAATTCGCCAACGTGTCCTAAACAATAAACAATAATAATAATAAACAACTCAATTGCTCCAAAAAATCATCCCCAATCGATGAATTCAGTGAGTGAATTTTGACAGGGAAATTGGCGCAATTCTAACCTAAAAATCACTCAAAAATTCAAACAAAGAAATTTCAACTACTCATCACACAATCGTCGACGAGGATAATCCAACGATTCCGTAGAAAAGGAACAGGTTATAATGTGCCAGGATTATTTTAATGTACAAATAAAAAAAATGCTTGCACTTTGGAGTACAATGCATCTGTCAATCTGAAATCCCACGGAAATAAAAAAAACTCACGGCGATTTCCGCTTTTCTCTTGACCAACTCTGCGAGTTCTGCCCGCAAATCGACCGAGGATTTAGTGGACATGTTGATAAGACCTCGATCCAGTCACTAAAAATGAAAATTTTCAACGTGAGACCCAGGGAATTGTTAAAAACAATGTTTTGCCTTGGATAATGTGAGCTCTCAGCTGTTTACCAGGGACTCTCGCCCCTCTCGACTCTTCCGGCGTTTCCCGTAAGCGCCATCTTGTCGGGGTATCTCTGTTATCGATTGGGACGCGGGAAACTAATGAAATTTGAATTTTAAGATGCTCTACGTCATACACAACGAAAATTCACGTTTTTTAAATTTCTTAGCAAATTATAAATGGGATTTATATGAAAAAATATACTTAATGGCTCACGAAGTTATGAGGAGGTGCCATAATTTTCATGTATTTTCTCTATAGTTTTTCTTTTTAAAAGTTAAGAAAAAACGCAGAAAAATGTTCGGAAAAATTCAATCAATCCCATATATGGGTATTTTTTACGTGTAATTTTCGTTCCCAAAATTCAGTTTAAAAAAAAAATGACTTTGCTTCCTCAAAAATTCTCGATCACTCTCTGAAGTCGAGACGAAAAAAAATTATTTCCATATTTTTCAAGTCTCTGATCGTTTTATTATCGTCAGCAAAAAATGTGGGGGAAAAAAATTGCCGAAAAAAGGTGAACAAATTGTTACCTGTAAATTAAAAAAAAAATGGCTAGTATAGATTAGTCCTCGTCCGGGGAACCACCGATATCTTCTTCGTCTCCACTTTCCCCGTTTACTATCGATTAAACATGAATCTCCACGAGCCGCGACCTGAGCTATTGCTTCACCAGTCTGTTCGGTCCTCAAGCCCCCGCGGTGTCCCCAAAGGAAATCTATAAATACCGCAAAACAATCCCCAATGAAATTAACCGAATAATTATTAGACGTTGGAATGATATGGGTGAAGAAGAAGAACTATACAACCTAGTGCACAAGAAGACGAAACTCCCGCTGTTGCAGGCGATCTCACCGCTGCCCTTGATCAACAAGAGCAGAATTCCTCCGAAATATTCCTGCAGGCGTCCGAAACCGGTGAACAATCTCCGGTCGAGAACCATCTCCGAGGATGAGTCCACTGAGATCTTCAAGCCAAAGCTGCCGAAGTCCTTTTACATAATAAAGCTGAAGGAATGGGCAGAAGAGATTCCAATCAGTCCCCTGATGCCTTCCTGGGAGACCAACATCATCAACCTGATTCCCAGAACCCTGAAAACCAAATACCCCAGATGCCTGGAGGCCCTCCTCGAAGAGATAAAACTGCTGTACGTCGGGGAGATGCAGGAGTTCGCTGTCTCGTCGATCGTAATCAACGACAAGGAAGAGGAAGCGGAAGAACCAGAAGAAATCATCGTAATCCCAACGGAAAAGCCCCTCGTCTCCCAGAACAATCGGCAGTTCTTGAAGAACAAGAAGCAGTTCAGGTCGAACTACTTCTTATCCCAAAATCTCATGAAGCAGATCATTTCGACAGCTAGACAGCACTTGACATCGGAGATCGTTGATTTCTCGAGGTATCGGCAGCTCGGTCTACTGAATATATCCGATTTTCAAGGAATGATAACGAAGAACCTGCGGAACAGCACATCCATCATAAAGCACGAGTACTACAAAGAAATAATGAAGAAAGTGCTGTCTAAGAGGCACCTGAAGAGGATCAAGAAGGACGAGGAGTCGAGGTTCATGCGATGCGCGACGAATCTCTTCGTCCAGCAGATCCTTCAGAACATGATGGAGACCGTCAGGAAGATGTTGGATTTTATCAAGGATGTGAAGCTCTGCCCGCAGTTGAGTTTCGAATTAATTATCACTGATGGTTTCGAAAAGCGTGAAGACTACGAACCGATGATCTCGTTGAGACCCTCGATTGATGAAGTGTCTGGTGTCTATCATCAGGTGATCGACGACGTCTCCAATATCGTCAGCAACGATTTACTCTGTTTCAAGTGCGAGGACAGCGACGAGAATCACATCCGAGTGAATCTTCCGGAATGGTTCTTGAAGGAATCGCATGACAAGCTGTCTCAAATTCTGGATAACCTGTTCCAACCGCTGAAGGATCACTTCTCAGAGATCGTCCTGGGGTTCAGGTACGTCTGTACACCAGGCACTCGGGATTTCATCCTGGACCTCGTATCGGAGACCAGGGACTTCACCGTCTACTGCGATCATGTAAAAAAATTCAACATTTATTTATCGAAGACCAATGAGATGGTCTCGTACTTGTACTACGACGTTGGAAGATTGAGCCAGGTAAAAGCGAAGGAGAATCTCCATCGGAATATCTCTGGATTGATAAAAATCCTGATGGACAAAATGACAGGCTACCACTGGGACTACAACAGATCGATATTCGATGAGTTCGAGGGACTGAAGAACTCAGCGCTTGATATCCCGAAGAACGCGAAGGCCCTCTTTGAGTTGAGCGAGACAATGGCACATGCTTCAACAGTGACTGTGGATAAGCTGCAGAAGAAGATCATGAACTCCGTGGAGATGCTGAGCGAATTGCTGCAGTTGACAGATCTATCGGAAGACCACATTGAGTTCAACAAATCGACGATTAACTATTTGTTCTCAATATCATCGGTCTTCACCCAGAGCAATATTCTGTGTGAAGCGATGAAGAGTGAACTAGAGGACGAGCTCCAGCGGAAGATCAATGTCCTGAACAGCCAAGTCGAAGAGATCATTCCGGAGTTCATAATAATGGACAACATGGACGACGCGAATCGTGTGCATGAATACATAGAATTTTTGAAGCTCTTGGTGTCGAAGGTGCAAGAAGTTGACGAGGAGATAAAGGCGATAAACCACGAAGAGAAATTGTTCAAATTCCCTGAGACGACCTTTCCCAGGGTCGACGAGATTAAAGACGTCATCATGCCGTTCTACAATTTGAACAAAATGATTTTCCTGTGGCGAAGGCACAACAGCGTCTGGCTTGACGGTCCATTCGAGTACATCGATTCATCTGAAGTTGAGAAGATCACGCTTCACTACTTTGATGAGTTTACAGAACTCAACAAGAACACGAAGACGAAGATCAAGCTGGACATGACAACGCCGAACAAGCCCTTCAAGTTCTCAGGGATAATTGATGATCCGGATCCCATGCAGCAGCCAGCACCATTAAAGCTGTGCTTCCAGGTGATTCAACACGTCAAGGACTTCAAGCAGTACATCAGACTCGTCAATTGCATGTGCAATCCTGCTCTCGCTAGGAGACACTGGAACGAGATGTCGATCATCTACGGGTCCGACATCACTCCCAATGCGGGAACAACTCTCAGGAAGATCATCGCTCTGGATCTCATCGAGAACATGGAGAAGTACGAGGTCATCAGCATCTCTGCCAACAAGGAGCTCGCCCTGCAGCAGCAGCTGGACGACATGGCTGAAGAGTGGAATGATGTGATGTTCGATATCGGTGAAGCTGATGGGGATAAGAGAAGACTCGTATTCGTGAATCAGGAGGTGGAAATTCAGGTGAGAATGGAGGAGCATCTGGTCAAGGTGCAGCAGATGAAGGGATCTTACTTCGTCAAACCAATTGCTGATGATGTCGATAGCTTTCACAGAAGTTTGATATTGGTCCGGGATACCATTGACGTGTGGAATAGTCTGCAGAACGAGCTGATCCTTATCAAACCCATCTTCGAGCATTCGAGACAACTTAAACTCAATCAATGCGGAGAGATGAATCGTGTTCTGAGTGAAGACTTTGAAGAGTTTGAGGTGATCTACGACGTCTGCGAGAAAATCGATGAACGTCTGAATTCCGTCAGGAGTGGAATCATGCGGAACCCAACGTTCCGTGAGATCGGAGGGACTTCTGATTATCTGAATAAGCTCAGACAATGCCAGGACTTCATCCGGACTGCCAATCAGAAAATTTCCGAGCATCTGGAGAAGATGAGGTCGATTTTTCCGAGGTTTCACTTCCTCTCGGATCATGAGATTCTCGGAGTCATATTCAGTGATGATCCTAGGAGAGGAATTGATAAATTCCTGAGATTGTTGAAGAAGTGCTTTTATGGAGTTAAAAACGTCAGGTTGGGATCTAGTGGGAATATTGTAGCGGTTGTTAGTGATTATGATCAGGAGTTTGATTTAGGCAGCGGCATCAATCCTGAAGAGGAGCGATGGCTGATTGAAACTGAAAGATCGATGATTGATGCAGTAAAGCGGAATATTCATTTGAATATCCAACGAAATCGTGAAGGTCCAGATAATTTCGTCGATTTTGTTTCCAATATTTTCAGCGTTTCTTCTGTGACTTTGAAAATATTTTGGACTTCGAGAGTCGAAAGTTGTCTTCGGGGTTCTGCCTCGAGACCTTCGATTTTCGATCTTCTGTTGAAGTCTCAAAATTTATCGATCACTGCTGCAACGAATGAATTAAAGAATGGAAATCAGACTGGTCGAATCCTCCGGAAGAATCAGAGATTAATCCTGATGAATCTCGCTTCGATTTTAATCCATCAACGAGATGTTGTCGCTTCGCTGATCGACAAGAAAGTGACAGACATCGAAGACTTCAATTGGGCATCACAATTGCGACACTATTACGTCGACAATTCGATAAAAATCGAGATGATCTACGAGACAAAGACCTACGGCTTTGAATTTAATTCATTGATCAATTCTCCGGTGATAAGGACTCCCCTGACCGACAGGATCTATCACACGATCTTTCAAGCAAGCAAGAACAATTATTTCTGCTCATTAATCGGTCCTGCCAACACCGGGAAAACAGAAACAGTGAAGAACCTGGCGATCAGCGAGTTGGGGCTTCAGTTTCATCTGATCAATTGCACGAGAAATTTGACTTGCGAGAGGGTGTCGAGTATTTTGAAGGGGATCATCTCCTGCGGTGCTTGGGCGACCTTCAGGAACATAAATCATGCGGAAGTTCCAATTCTATCGGCAATCACTCAAAGATTCAGTCAAATCCTGAAGATTCTGTCTTCTAAGAACTCAAAGAACTCAAAGTTCGAGGGCTTCGACTTCTTCGGAGAATTATCGAAGGTCAAAAACTCGGGATTCATCACTGTCACCATGACTTTGAATCCTGGCAGCTTCTCCAGATTCAAGAAATACGAGAATCTTCCGGACAACTTGAGGACGATGTTTAGGCCAGTGGCAGTTCATCCTCCTGATCTGGAACGGATTCTTCAAGTCAATCTGCTCTCCGCGGGTTTTGAAAAAGCCGATGTTATCTCCAGAAAGATGAAGATGTTCTATAAATTGTGTGCAGAGCAACTAAGCGCCGATCAAAGGTACGTATTCGGCCTTCGGTCATTGACTGCGATTATCAAGAACTCGGTGAGACTCAAGTTCCAGTTCTCCGAAGAGAAAGACGAAGTGTTGATCGTCCTGAGGTCAATCATTGACGTTCATCTTGGGGTTCTGAGGCAAAACGACGTTCCGGTCTTTTTGGGGTTCGTGAAGGACATCTTTCCAAGGGCTCAGGTGTTCCCTCCTGATTACAGCAGCTTTCTCAGAATCCTGGAGGAGCTGCTGGATGTCTTCCAAGCCCCTGAGAACTTCCAACTGAAGTTGATCCAAATATACGAAATCCTTCACATCAAGCACTCGTTCATGATCGTCGGGGACTCCCTCTCGGGGAAGACGACAATCCTCAAGATCTTATCGAAATGCTTGTCTCGATTACACTCAGAGATTGATTATTCAGGGATCGAAGTCGAAACAATCAATCACAAGTCCATGAGTCTAGATACTTTATTCGGGTATAATGAGGTCACCGGTGGTCAGAGAAAATGGATCGACGGAATTTGTACTGCAGTTTTAAAGAACTTCTCACATAGAACTGAAATAAAATACTTTAATTCAAGAAAATGGATGATATTCGATGGTTCTATCGACTCTTCCTGGATGGACAACTTATCTACACTTTTGGATGATAATCGAACGTTATTTTTGGATTCTGGAGAGGGAGTCACAATTTCGGATACAACTTCCATAATTTTTGAAACAGATAGTCTGAAGGACTCGTCTCCAGCGATGATCTCGAGGTGTGGAGTTGTGCATTTGGAAGGTGATACCATTGGTTGGAGATCACACGTGAAGTCTTGGGTGATTGAACAGAACTACATTCAGTCGAAAAGCTGCAAATTCATGACGAATGTCCTCAATTGGGGATTAGAATCTGTCCTAAATTTCTTGAAAGATGTCTCAGATGCTTTCCTGAAGATCAGTGAAGTTTATCTGGTGATTTCGGTCCTGAAATTGCTGAGGATTTATCTGCTAGATGCCCTGGACGTCAACAAAAAGGAAGGGACGTCAACTAATTTCAATACTCACTTCGAAATCTGGTTCCAAGCAGCTCTGATTCTCTCAATAATCTGGGGAATGGGTGGGACGTTGTCTTCTGACGAATCCAGAAACAAGCTAGACGAATTTTGCGCCTCCATGTGGTGTCGACGACCTGCAGAGATCAGTCAACCCGACGTAGTCCTTCCTGAGGGTTTAATCCAGGACTACAATTATGTCTTCAAAGCTGCTGGTGCTTGGAAATCCTGGGCGGAGATCCTGAAGAACTCCATAGACTTCTTCATCGACTTCAAGTTCATTCCAACTGCTCACACAACTCGATTGACATCAATCTTCGAGAGTCACATCCGACACAAAGTTCCCTTCATCATCTGCGGAGATAAATCCATCGGGAAGACAACGATGATGCAGTTTCTTCTGAAGAAGAAGCTCCCAAAATACAACAACGAGTACTTATCCAATATTTTCAACTTGACCTCGAGGACATCCTCCCAGCAGGCGCAGAAGTATTTTCTTCTGAAGATCAATAGAATAAGGAAAGGACGGTACGCCCCACAGAGGGACAAGTACTCGATCAATTTCATTGATGATCTGAACATGATGACGGATGATTCTGAGAATAGGGGATCGATTTTGGAGTTGATCAGACAGATGATGGATCACGGTTACTGGTTCGGCTGCAGCAACAACGACGAGAAATTCCAGAAGATATTCGTTGAGAACGTCATGTTCCTGTCGGCTCTGACTCTTCGAACCTGTAACTCTGTTCCTTCCAGGTTCATCAGACACTTCAGTCTCTACACGATGAATCCTCCCTCGAAAGACAACATCTTCAGAATCTTCTCGACTCTGTTATTGAATAATCTTAAGAAGAATCAGTTTAGTGCTGATGTCAGCTCCAGTGTGAACTCGATGGTTCACGCAGTGATTCAAGTCTTCAATTCCATTTCGACGAATAAGGAGCTGCGGCCCATACCCTTGACCGACATCACACATCTGTTCAATCTGACGGATATTGGACGTGTGATCAGCGGCTGTAGCTTGATTCACCGTGAATCAGCGGAGACTAAAGTGACATTGATTCGTCTTTGGACTCACGAGACCCTCAGAGTTTTCGGCGATCGAATGACGACCGGAGCTCAACGGAACTGGCTGTTCACCACGATAAAGGAAGCTATCGGTGTTCACTTCAAGGACTCCTTCGACTCCATCTTCGATCACCTTCCGAAGCACAACGATCAGCTGACAGCAGAGAGCTTCGAGAGCCTGCTGTTCTGTAATTTTATCGACACAGGAGATCACAAAGAGGACGCGATGCGACGTCGGAGGTACGAAGAGGTCACCTGCAGCAGGGAAATCCTCAGGACTAAATTGGTCTCTCTCTTGGCTCAGTCTAATGAAGCTGTAGAAGACCACAAGAAGCTGGACATCATCATCTCCTCTGACATTGTGACGCACTTGATTCGCCTCTGCAGATGCCTCTGCACCCCGTCAGGTAACTTCCTGATGTTATCGATGAGCGGAGGCTCCACGGGGAGGCGTACCCTCACTAGGTTGTCCTCTTTCATTCAAAAATCTCAATTCTTCGAGTTGTCGAATGACTCCAATTGGAGAGAAGACTTGAAGAAAGCTGCAAAGTCCATCGCAGGCAGCACCAACGACTGCGCCTTCTTCGTTCCCTGTCGGTATCTCAAGCATGAACACCTTATGGACATGAATTGCTTGATATCCACCGGCGAGATTCCAGATTTATTCCCTGAAGATGATGAGCGTCAAGAGATCATCGAATCCGCACGGCTTCCAGCTCAAAATGGCGACAGAAACCTCGAAATTGGAATAATCGAAGTTATGAACTACTTCCACGTGCAGTGCCAGGAGAAGATTCATTTTGTTCTCTACGTAAATCTTTTTGATGAAATGAGATGTAGAAGAAACAGTAACTACCGGCTGTTAAAATCGTACCCAAATATTCTAAACTTCTGCTTCATAGATTGCTTTGAGGACTGGCCGGGAGAAGCCTTTCAGCTTCTCAGCACTAGATTCCTCCAGGATTTGACAGTAATCAACAGCTTCACGAAGGAAAAAATAATCTCCGCATCTGTTGATATCTACAATCACTCCAGACTCATTGAACCCATCAACAGCTACAGGACAATACCAGGTTCTTACGCTTTCATTCACATGATGAAGCTGTACTCCCGGATCATCACAAAGAAACACGAGAAGATCACGGAGTCTCGTCACCGATACCAAATAGGATTAGAGAAGCTGCAGTACGCTGAGCAAGAAGTCTCGAAGATGAAGTCAACGCTGACAGATCTGAAGCCTCAGTTGGAATTGTCAGCGAGACAAACGGAGGAGACGATGAGGGAAATTGAAACTGAGAATATTATAGTGGAGAATGCAACGATTCAGGTGAAGAAGGACGAAGAGATAGCGAACAATGCTGCTGAGATTGCTGCAATTCTGAAATCAGAGTGCGAAGCTGATCTGGCGGTGGCTATTCCGATCCTGGAGGATGCCATCGCAGCTTTGAATACCCTAAAACCTGCGGACATAACTCTTGTAAAAGCCATGAAGAATCCACCAGACACCGTGAAGCTGGTGCTGGCAGCTGTCTGTGTGATGCTGAATGTGTCCTCTGACAGAGTCATCGATCCAGTGACTGGGAAGAAATCGATGGACTACTGGGGCCCGAGCAAGCGAATTCTCGGTGAGATGAACTTCCTTCAAATGCTCAAGGACTACGACAAGGACAACATTCCACCGAGTCTGATGTCAGTCGTGAAGAAGACGTACATGACGGACAAGAACTTCATGCCTCACATCGTGGCGAAGGCCTCCAGTGCTGCCGAGGGTCTCTGCAAATGGGTCAGGGCGATGGTATCCTACGACGAAGTCGCTAAGATCGTTGCACCCAAGAAGGAGAAACTCGCTCTAGCCGAGAAAGAGTGCAACGAGAGCCTGGACTTTCTCAATCAGAAGCGAAAGACACTCGCTGAGTTGACACGAAAGTTAACGGCCTTGAATGAGACACTACGAGAGACTCTAGCCAAGAAGTTCGAGTTGGAGAATGAAGTCAGGAGTTGCACCGAGAAGCTAGGGAAGTCTGAGGGATTAATTGCGAGTCTGGATGGAGAGAAGATCAAGTGGAAGGGGTCAGTCGACTTCTTGAAGAGTTCGTTGGAGACCCTAGCTGGTGATCTCCTGATCTCTTCTGGGGTCATCGCTTTCCTTGCCTCGTACGACGAAGTCCATAGGCTGAAGAATATCGAACGCTGGAAGGAGATTCTCCAGGGGGAACGGGTAGCCATCTCCAAGAAATACGATTTTCTGGTCAGTCTTGAATCCAAAATTACCATCGACTCCTGGAGGCTCTCCGGGTTATCCCGAAACAAATATTACGATGAGAATGGCGTTATCATGAAGAATTCAGGGCTCTGGTGTCTCCTGGTCGATCCTCAAAATCAGGGGAACACTTGGATTCGAAAGCTCGAGGAGAAGAACAACCTGAGGGTCTTCAAGTCGTCAGAAGTTCGACTTTCTCATTATGTCGAGGCAATAAAGGCGTGCCTAGAGGTCGATTCTCCGGTTCTGTTGGAGAATCTGGGTGAGAACTTCAGTCCTTCGGACCTAGACGTCATCTATCAGCTGAAGTCTGGGAAATCGAACGCAGAGACTGAAGGATTTCGATTCTACATGACCACAAGACTTCAGAATCCTGCACTCAATCCGTACATCCTCAAAAAAACAAATGTCATCAACTTTCATCTACCCACAGCTGCTCTCCACGAGCAACTGCTTGATATCGTTGTGTCAAGGGAACAACCGGAGCTCCAGGAGAAATTTAATGACTTGAATATTAGAAGTAACGGAAACAAGCAGATCCTCATCGAGGAGGAAAAGAACATTCTCGTCACGCTCTCTTCAACATCAACATCAGTTTCGATTCTCGAGGATGAGAAAGCTCTGAAGATCCTGGATGCCTCGAAGAAGCTGTCCGTCGAGATCATGCGGAAGGAGAGAGCTACGGAAGAAGCGAAAAAGGAAATCGACATGTTCAGAGAGTGTTACAGCAAATTCACTTCATTTTCCGCGAGTTTGTACAACACCACAACTTCCCTGACATCTTTAAATGTCATGTATCAGTTCTCATTGACCTCTTTCACGCAACTCTTCATGAAGTCCATAGACGCCTCCAGAAGGAGTCACGTAATCGAGAAGCGATTGAAGTATCTGAAATGCTCCTTCGCCCAGACACTCCACTCGAGCGTCAGGAACTCATTACTCGAGGAGCACAAGATTGTTTACTCGTTCCTGCTTTGTCTCAAGATGTTGTCGAGTGATGATGCCCTCAATCCCCAGGAAGTCGACTGTTTCTTCGAGAAAGCCGAAGATATGGACTACGAATCGGCAGTTCCGTCGGTCAAATTGCAAAGATTAGAAGAACGCTTTCCGGTATTCGAAGGAATCACCAGAAGCCTTGAAGATGATGACAGTTGGAGGAAATTCTTGTCACCGAACCGCCCAGAAGATGATAATCTCCCGCCTCCTTGGAGTTCACGCCTCTCGATCTTTCAGAAGCTGCTGCTGGTCAAATTCCTGAAGCCCAGCGAACTTCTCGAATCTGTGAAGGGCTTCGTCGATATGGTGATGACCCAGTGCGGGGTGCCTCCGTCATCCCCTGGAGGACTATTACAATCATATTCAGAGTCCACGTGCCTCATCCCCTTGGTGTTCATTCTACCGACATACATGGAGCCTCTGAAAATGATTACAGAGTTCGAGAAAAAATTCGGCTACACCTCGAAGATCTTCACAGTATCTCTGGGAGGTCCTGAGGACTCAACGATCGATCAATTGATCAGGAACTGCCAGAGGGAGGGGGCCTGGGTGGTCATCCAGAATTGCCACCTCGCGGATGCTTCCACCCTTTTCCTTCTCGAGAAAATCCATGAAGAGAAGACTAGTGGTACCCCTGCCCTTCTGGGCTTCCGGCTCTGGCTCTCCAGTCTTCCCTGCGAGGCGTTTCCCGTGGGGATTCTTCAGGATGCCATCAAGATCTCCAACAGTCCACCGAAAGACCTGAAGGACTCTCTCCTCAATTGCTATCACTCCGATCCCCTCAACAAAATGGAATTCATCTCCAGCTGTCCAGGCAGGGACAAACTATTCTCGAAGATGATCTACGGATTCTCTCTCTATCACTCTATCCTGAGGGAGCGGGGGAAGTTCGGGACCCGCGGGTGGAACGTCCCCCATGACTTCACACCTGGAGATTTCAATATTTCCGTCAAACAGTTACAGAGTCTTTTGATAATTACGGATTTCGAAAGGGGAAGGAATCATTTCCTGGAGGGAATTTTCTATCTCGTTGGGAGGTGTAACTATGGCGGGAGAGTTCTTGACCCTGAGGACCAGGTGTTCGTCGATGAAGTTCTCAAGGATTTTTGTAATGAACAGGTCGGGCTGAGGAGGAATTACGCGGTTCGAGGAGAAGTCGCGGGATTTGTGCGGATTCCTGACAGATGCGAATATAAAGATTTTCTCAAGCATGTGGAGGCCATTCAGGAGGGCGATGACGTCCTCAGGGTGTTTGGGATGGATGAGGACGTGGGGATGATGAGGGATCTGGTCCAGGTGAAGAACTTTCTGAAGTCGTTGGATTTAATTAGATCTATTGACAGAAATTGTCATCTGGAAGCTAGAGGATTTGAAATGTCTCGAGAAGAACCTGTGGATGATTTCCCTGGAGTCTTCAATATTCAGGTAATGACTGATAAATTTTCTGTGGAGTACTCGAAACCGTTGGATTATATTCTGCGAGAGGAGATTGATGATTTCAATTCGAAATTAGAACGACTCAGAATTTCTTGGGAAAATCAAGAGATCAAGACTGAGGAAAATATGGGGATTGAACGGTTGAAGGAAAAATATATCCTTCTGCGGAATTGGCTGGAGGATCGGCTCCCGAGGGGTCCCATCGATTTGGGACTGATTTCTGCCCCCAGGAAATTATTTTCCACGATAAAAATTATGTTCTCGAGAGAACTCGCAGCGGATATCACAGAAATTGAGTTGGAAACTCACGTTTTGGGGGTGAAGGATTCTAGAGAACGTGAGGAATTGATTAATGATGGGAAATCAATTTTTATTGAGGGGTTGTGCCTCGTTGGGGGCAGGTGGAATGATCACGAGGGGAAATTGGAGGTAAATGGTGCGAGAGAATTTTGGAATGTTCTGCCGATAATTCGCGTGAGTCCTCGAATAAAAAAAAATGGATTAAACGCTTTTTCTGAGACATTTCTGTGTCCATTGTATAAATCCGCGTATCCAAGAGACAGGATAAATTTTTCAGGGGAGCTGGATAATTTTATTTATAGAATTCAATTGAAGTCTGATTTTTCTCAAAGTTTTTGGGTGAAACGCGGAACGTTTTTGTTTTGCAGAAATCATTAATAGGAAATTGTTCATTAATGGACGACAATTGTATTTTTTGTAAGTCTGTGCTATAATCTCATAAATTTGTACAATTCTTGTCAATAAAACTTTATAAATGCCTCGATGAATAATAGAATCATAGTATACTGTATTAAGCGTCAAAAATGCATAAAAAATTGAGGATTGGTACGTAGAATCATTATATACTCTAAATAAACATGATTGAGAGTTCCTATAGGGAAATACTTCTTTCAAATTGACACATCAGTGGGGAAATGTGTCGCGACAAATACTTTAGACTTGAGTTTGACTGCCCCACACCCGCGAAATCGCAGCTCTTGTCAGTTTTTTTCCTATTGTCTGGACATTGAAGCCTATTCTCTGGAGATTGTCATGGTCCAGGATTTTTCTTCCGTCGAAAATGTACGCGGGTTTCGTCATCTCGGAGAATATTTTCTTGTAGTCCAATTCCTTGAGTTAAATAAAACAGAATTTGTATTTTGATTTGTTCTCTGAACAATTCCTTGAGAGATCAAGGAATTCTCAGACAATTGAGTAATTTAATTAATGGTAAATGGTAAACAAAAATTGAATTATCAGTACCATAAATTCGTCCCACTCGGTGCACACCACAATTGCGTGGGTGTTTCTAGTTGCTGTGTAAGCATCATGATAAATATTTATCCTGGTTTTCAAATCTGACAATCCGAGTGGCGATAAGTCCTCCATTATTTGAGCTTCTTCCACCTGTAATGAAAATCAATAAAATTCTTAATGAAACTGCGAAGATCAATCTATTCATTTCTCAATTACATTATTTTTTAAATTTAAAAAAGAAAATATTTTAATTACTTTGGGATCATAAATATGAAGAATAGCCCCTTCATCCAACAAAGTTTGAGCTACATGAATGGCAGGTGATTCTCTAGTATCTCCAGTGTTCTTCTTGAAAGCAAAACCGAGGAGTGAAATATGTTTGTCAGTAACAGTATTGAAGAGTGACGAAATAACTTGAGCAGAAAATCGTGACTTCTGGTACTCGTTCATGTCAATTACCCCCTGCCAATATCTTCCCACCTCCGGGAGTTTGAGGCACTCGCAGAGATACACGAGATTGAGTAGATCCTTCTGGAAGCACGAGCCCCCGAAACCGACAGAGGCCTGCAAAAATTTCGAGCCAATTCTCGAGTCGAGTCCAACAGCTCTCGCCACCTCAGACACATCAGCTCCAGTTTTCTCGCAAATTGCTGATAAAGCATTAATGCTGGATATTCTCTGAGCTAAAAATGCATTGGCAGCTAGTTTTGACAGCTCAGAACTCCACGTGTTGGTTGTTATAATATTCTCCCGGGGGATCCAGTGCTCGTACACTCTGCAGAGCTCCTCGATGGCTGCCTGGCCCTCCAGGGTGTCCTCTCCACCGATCAGGATCCGATCTGCGCACAACAGGTCCTGCACGGCGGTCCCCTCCGCTAGGAATTCAGGATTCGAGAGAATCTTCACGGAAGAAAAAAAGGTTTGATCTTATTTTTCTATAGCTTTCTACCAATCCGTGGGTGACTGAACATATATTTAATCTGAAGGCGATAATAAAATTATCAAAGATAAGAAAAATAGGGGAAAAATCGGACAAACTTGAAACATTAAAAAAAAAAAAATTTATCGAGTTCCCTCAATATATTATCCTCATTCATCGATTCCAAGAACAATCGATACATTTTCAAACTGAGATCAGCTCTTAAAATAAAAACTTCAGGAAGAGAGTTTAATTTCGTTTTTTTTTTTTTATAATGGCTGCTCTCGAAAGAGTAGTTTATACCTGATAAGATACTCCAGGCTTATTGTTAGCCCTGAGAATATTCATGATGCTCTCAGCAGCTCGGACTGGTACAGTGCTCTTCTCAACAACAATTTTATCATTTGTCGCAATCTCGGCAATCATTCTCGCTGCGCTCTCGACGTATTTGAGATCCGCAGCACGTCCCTTGCCATTTCCGAATGTTTTAGTCGGTGTATTAACCGAGATGAAGATGAGATCCGCCTCTTGAATAGCGGTTTCGATGTCCGTTGAGAAAAATAAATTTTTTCCACGGCATTGAGAAACAACTTCGTCGAGACCTGGCTCGTAGATTGGAAGTTTATCAGAATTCCACTGGGCTATTCTATCTCTACTCTTGTCCACAACTGTTACACAAATGTCTGGACATTTTAGGGCAATGACACTGCATGTAGGACCCCCGACGTAGCCCGCACCAATGCAGCAAATTTTTTTTATCATTTTATCAGAATCTGAAACGAAACGATTGCCTCTAGGAAGTGGATCAATGACGTTACGCGTTTTTCGCAAATATCTCTGAAATTGTGGGAGATAGCGAAATTCTAGTGCGAACCTTTTTTCTAGAGCTAATTGAGAGCTACAGAAAAGGTTATTAAAAGAATTTTCATATCTCCCTTGGTTTTGAAGATATTTCCGAAAATCTTGTGAGTTATCAATGAATAATTAATTATCGTCATAATTTGGGGTATTCGTGATTATTTTATGAGTTGTTTTATTGTGGGAACTAAATTAAATAGATTAGTACTCAAATTACATGTTTTTCCTCTCCACTTGATTATTTAATTCAATTTCAACATTTTCGTTTTTAATTTCAACTGAAATAATTAATGAGAAAAAATCATTTATTTCCCGTCTGTCGTTTGTATTTTTTGTTACTCCAGTTATAAATTAAATTTAAAGAGATTCAATTGTGATTATGAATAATTCAGGGAATATAATGAATCTCTCGGTTGTAGCCATCGATTATCAATTAAATTATTTTTTACGAGAATAGATTCAACTGCCGGAAATGAGAACCGGTTAGCGATAGTAAGATACAAATCAAGCGTCAAATATTGGATTTAACTATTTTTATCAGTAGCAATCCCTTGCTGATAACAGGCACAAGTTTTTTCCAATCGAGTGAGCGATCCATCGGAACAACAAAGAAATCTTCCGCAATCGAATCCGCTGACAGTAAAAATTGATAAAAAGGTCGCAAGGATTATTGACATTTCTATTATCAAGGAATTAATTCATTAAAAAATAATTGCACATCGCAATTACCGCGAGTACGCGTGTATTAATCATCAAAAAATTGCGGACATGAGGAGTCAGCGAATACTTCATCGATGATTTTTTTGTAGGAAGGGGAATGATTTTATTATTATAAAAACGGATGGATTATCCTTTCTGAATTTTTAAAAATATCAACTCTCTTGATTTTCAATAAAATAACTTAATTTTTTCACACAATTTTTTCCTATTTAAAAATAGAAACTTAAGGAAACGACGAAATTACGAGTGATAATTAAATAATAAAAACAATAAGTGCAGCAATCCTAAAAAATTCGTAAACAATTTATTCCCTATGATCGACTATTTTTCCGAAATAACACAATCCTGGCGTTTTCGATCTACAAATAAAATCAGAATACGAATTAAATAACAAATGAATCTTTTCTTCGAGGGGCTATTCACACTTAAAAAATCGAATAAATTTTGGGGTAAATCTATAAATATTCCCAAATATTTCCCACAGAATCAACTGATAACTCCGATTGATGACTGAAAATTTGGAAAGGCCGGACTGATAATGAGACTTTAAATCCATTTTTTCAAAAAAACTACAAAGCACAGAGTAAAAGTCGAATTATTTACCCCTCAAACAAGTGATGGAACGCCCGCTGGAATTTCTGGAGTTCTCGTAAAACAACAATGGAACTAATCGATTTCCTTCGATCCAAGTATTAATTCTGATCTCAAGAATTGTTATAAGATTGATTCTAGCTGATATTCTTGATGACTTTCTGCCCAGGAAATGTTGGGACAACACTAAAAACCGATCCACTGACAATCTGACAGATTCCCTCGGTAAAACTGCCAGTGGGTTGGAACAGCCTCTGAACAACCGGATCAATTGCCAATGTTAATTAACCAAACGTCCCCAGTGTCACGACCAACAAAATCCCTAGAAATCCCTAGATTACAGGAATCCCTCATATCAACTGATAGTCAGAATTTTTTGAAAAAATGAATAAAAAGAAAACCAAAAAAAAAAATTAATTATTTATTCTTAACAATTATTACTTTTTAATTAATGAATTATTATCATTTTTCCAATGATTATTCATTATTTATTATTAATTATTAATGATTAAATGGGATGGTAGATATTAATTTATTCTGGTATTAATTAGTTTATTTAATTTATCGCAATAAAATCAATTTATTTTTTTCTTTTAGGTATTTATTATCATTTTTCTGTTACAATTTTCAATAATTATTTTTTTTAATGAGATACATTAATGGGTATAAATGTAGAAGTGCTTAGATAACGGACAGAACACAATACGATGAATTATTTGGAGACTATTCGATGATGATATTTATCAGCTGCTTTAGCAGACTTAATACTGGCGGTAGAACGATTGCTTCCGATTTTTCTGGGGTGGTTTTTTTCCTGGATGTCCTCGGGCGTATGGTTTGTGTCCGTTTGTTGACAGATAGAAGATTCCTCTTGCGCTGGAAATTTTAAAGAATTTTCCCATTCATCTCGGAAATTTTCCCATTATTACCACTAAATCTACAAAAAAAAACTCAAAAAATCGCGTGAAAACTGCATTTTTAATTTTTGCGTTAATCATTAATTTATTTAATTTTTACTTAATTTTTACCTTTTACCTTAATCATCGCGAAATGTTGAGAAATTTTAATAAATAAATAAATTCAACATCGATTCACACAATGAGTCATTCCCGTCATCATTATTAATACATATAAAATTTATTTGTAATATAAATCCAATTGGAAAAAGTATTATTTTCCAGTGAGGATCAAAAGTTGATTAAAAAGTAATTAATCAATTCATTCATTCATTAACGTAATTAGCAGAATGACTCGGGAAAATGCCGAATTGTTTGATTGAGGCGCTATTTTCTCGAGGGATTAATTATTTTTATTTTTAATGAGTAACTCACGTATGAGGGGTATCTTCCCCCATCGGGATCCATTCGTCGTCCTCTGGACGGCACAACCCTATGATGTATGAGAATAAATTTGGACAAGGCGCCGCCCAAAATCCCGACTTTGTCGTTATCGACTCGATGTAATAAGGAGTTACTTTCGTGTGATCGCAGGATAGTGTTCCTAATAATTATAAAATACAAAAAAACCGAATCAAATGTCTAAAGAACTACAAAATATTCTATAAATATCGTGAGAAAAAAAAATTCGATTACTATCCATTTTTGTAATTACGACACTAAATAAATCCCTCTGCACGGAAGAGATAGATCATTTGAATGAGGGAGAGAATAATCCCTGAATTTTCTCCATAAAATAATGACTAAATAATAAAAAAAAATGGGACTAATAATTATAAAATACAAAAAAAAAACAAATCAAATGCCTAAATAATAACAAAATATTCTATAAATATCCTGAGAAAAAAAAATTCGATTACTATCCATTTTTGTAATTACGACACTAAATAAATCCCTCTGCACGGAAGAGATAGATCATTTGAATGAGAGAGAGAATAATCCCTGAATTTTCTCCACAAAATAATGACTAAATAATAAAAAAAAATGGGACTAATAATTATAAAATACAAAAAAAAACAAATCAAATGCCTAAATAATAACAAAATATTCAATAAATATCCTGAGAAAAAAATATTCGATTACTATCTGTTCTCGTAATTACGACACTAAATGACACTAAATAAATCTCTCTGCACGGAAGAGATAGATCATTTGAATGAGAGAGAGAGCAATCCCTGAATTTTCTCCATAAAACAATGACTATATAATAAAAAAAAAAATGGGACTAACTGAGTATCGACGTAGAGGCGCATCCAGGCTGACTGGAGCCTCCATTGACATAAAAATCGGCATGACCATTTGGTCCCCACTGTCCCAAAATGCCAGCACCTGTATGAATAATATCGACAAAGTGCGCATCGGTCTCGTCCAAGTCCCTGGATCTGTTTCCATTCATATAAAAAAATATTGTCGGATCTAGACCTGAAACAATCATCTAAATTACACGATCTAACCAGATTATTGGACTGCTGATGAATTACATTGTTGTATATCATTAATGGAGTCAAGTACCCGTTATCCTCCCCAATTTGTCATCGGGTAGATGATTTGCTATGAGGCCAGCTATATGAGCACCAACGCTGTACCCCAGAACGTGAATAGTCTCCACTGGTGTACCTCGCTGATGATCCCTCAAGTACCTCACCAATTGAGCAATACAACGCGAACAAAAGTCCGGACCCCATTGCATTTGCGATAGACATGGCTCTCGTACCAATGAACCGTAATCTACTATTATTATATTGTAATTGCCGCGCTTGAAAAATGCTAAAACCAAAAAACAAAAAATTATATCATTTGTTAATCGCATATTATTGATTTTATTATTTTTAATGAGTAATACACTCATTAAAACACCCGAGCAAATTTATATGTACGGTATAAAAATGTTATGATAAATTACTGCTTCCTTTGATTTTTAAAGAAACAATACCATTTTTTAATAACAAATAAGGAATTGAGTAGCAAAGGGGTTCACTAGGACAAGTGGATTTTTTTCCAGGCCAGTTTTTGGTGAATATCTCGGAATTGAAGGGAGATAGCCATTTTTTTGTATAAACATTTTTTGTTGAAAAAGTTGAGAGCTGTAAAAAAGGTTTCTATGAAAATATCGGTATCACCCCTCAGTTCCGCGATATTCGTGAATGAAATCTATTTATTGTATATTTATTTTTTTTGGAGGAAATTGTTAATAATAATTATATTCCCTTTGGAGACATCCTGATGTGGAGAGTGTCAGTTTTTTATGATAATTTAGTACAGAATTATTATGGAATCTAAAATTACTCACAATTGTTTATCATTGCGGCAAATAGGGAAAGCTATTTGCCGCAATGATAAACAATTGTGAGTAATTTTAGAAATAATCTCGAATGAACAAATAGTAATAATTGAAGACAACTCGACTTGTGGTGTTACTCTCACTAGTTTCCGGTCAATGGCCGTGCATTTTCGCTGAAGTTCTGCATCTGCCTTTCACGTTCAATTTCCGTATTATAAACTTCCATTAAATCTCAACCTCATGAACACACACCGCAAATAATGAATCTAAGGAAAATGGAACACGGACCTTGAACGTTTTTATTAATTTATCATCTGATTTTACGGTAAACTATTTTGGAATTCTTTAAAATTTTGAGGAACTTATAATTCTTTTACGACACGGCGAATGGATTTTTTTTTCATTATGATTTTCGAATGATTTGTACAGAAAAATAAAGGGAGATTCGATTTTTGAATAAAATTTCTGGGGATTTGACTCTAAATCTCGAGAGGGGATTAAACATTTTTTTTATGATTTTTATTATGACGAAATGAAATTATTTGAAGAAAAAAACAATCGAATCTAGAATTTTTTAATAAAATTTCCAAAAATTCGGTCTTAAAAGTCGAGAAGAAATGAAAATTCCTAAAAAAACCCCAGAAATTTTTATTTATCAGTAAAATTTTTTGCAATTGATGGATATGCCATTTTTTATTTATTATGATTTCGAACGATTTGTACAGAAAAATAAAGGGAGATTCGATTTTTGAATAAAATTTCTGGGGATTCGACTCTAAATATCGAGAGGGGATTAAACATTTTTTTTATGATTTTTATTATGACGAAATGAAATTATTTGAAGAAAAAAACAATCGACTCTGAAATTGTTTAATAAAATTTCTAAAAATTCGGTTTTAAAAGTGAAAATTCCTAAAAAAACACCAGAAATTGTTATTTATCAGTAAAATTTTTTGCAATTGATGGATTTACCAGAAATTTCGATAATTCATTCCTAAAAATTGAGAGGAAATGAAATTTTTAAAGACTTGATAAAAAAATAATCTTGATTATCACCATTCCTCAAATCAGTGCTGGGGGCCAAATTCCTTCCTCCCCCAAACCCGTGGATGATGACTTTAGTCGAATGCGATTTATCGAAAGTTGTGTAATCGAGTGATCGAGGATCCCTGACGTTCAACAAAGCCGGATTTTTCTGGGTCGTCCTGCAAAACAAAGTCCATGGCCAAATTGCCAAAAAATTATCCCCATCATTCGTTAAATGTCACTGCCATAAAGACGCAAGTCCCCACTTGCATTTAATATAGAGAAAGGTGAGACGAGGAATCGAGGTCACTTTCGGTTTACGATAAAATGTGATCGTGATCTTGAAACTAAAAGTTTTTCAATTTATGCATGAGACTGACGTCGGGGAATCGTCACCTTTTTTAATCACGAAGAAAGAATTTTATTTTTCACGATTTCAAGGCTGGGTACAATCTTCGATAAAAAAAGCCGACTCAATTTCCATTTCATTTCCATCTTTTCAAAATTTACGAAGAATCGAGAACAATAAAAGAATTGTAAGAATTCCAAGAACTTTTAGAAATTTTATCTACCGAAAATCCAATTGAATTTGATCCCCGATTTTCATATTGCAATAAAAAAAATTGATTTATCTGAATATTAATGTTATTATCAATAAAAAATAAGAGTGAAAAATGTTTTTTAAATTAATTAAAAATTCAAAACGAATTATCATTAAAATGTGAATAAATTACGGAAATTAGTCGATAATTTTGTGTCTTAAAATTCCCAGAAGATTTTAATTATCTTTATTTATGACTCACTAATTAATTAAAACCCCATAAAAATTCTCATTCTCTTTTCAATTAATTGGTTAACAAGAACTATTGTATTTATTGAAAGATTAATGAATGATATAAAATCGGTTGCAAATCGAATAAATTTGAATACCTCGTGTAAAGATAAAACTGAATCTGCGGATGTGGACAGGTATACGGTGGTTGAGCACAAGACGTACTGTTAAACAAATCCTTAAGAGTCTTATTCTGTCCCTCGACCTTGCCTGAATCAAAGAAAAAAATATTGAAAAAACATTCCAGGTCACCAAGACTGACATTAAACCGATGATTTGCATCGATCGATCGATCACACGCGATAATCGCATGGAATTCCTTGACATTCGTCAGGATTCATCAGACCTCCAAGCATCCCATGGAATTGAGGCAAAGGACATCGCAATTTATGTCAATCCTCAACGCAATCTTCATTATCATCGCACTTATTTTCAATTGCTGCATCGATCATATCGATTGTTCACCTCGATAAATAATGCGTGCGAGTATTCGTCGCACGTCGAACTCGCATTGGGAATGAAAAAGTATTTTGGAGATTTTCTAATGGAATAATTGCGCGAATTACGAAAAATCCCCATTTGAAATGCACCCGAACGCGCAATTCAGTTAAAATAAATTAAATGGGGAGGAATTCCCGCGCAAATAATTGGAGATTTGAATAATCGTAGATCCACAATTATTTGGAGAATTAGAGTTGTAAGATTAAATGAGCTTTTCACTTATTCGCGAATATAAAAATAAATGTAATGATGGATGATTAATTGATGATTAATTGTTGATTATACTCACATGTAAAATAAACAATAGCGATAACAAAATATTTTAAACCACTGACATCCATCTCCGGCACTTCCAAGGACTGTGATATAACATTCGGACGTTAAGTCAGTGGACTAACTTTCAAACCACCGAAACTAAAATGAAAAATTGAATTACGTGGAAAGAAAATCAGACCGACCGCGTAAAAGTGAATCTCCCAGTCTGGCATTCACTTACAAAATAAAAAAAATCATGCGGATGAGCCTCGGCTAGGCTCTTTAGAAAGTATGTAAAAGATACTGGTCAGGACAGTTGGCCGAGCCTTCCCCGACCACGGTCCAGCCGCATGTGCGATTGCCAATTGAACGCATGCGTGGAACGACCCAATGCATTTTCAATTTTCCCGCCCCTCCCGTTTTAAGTGAAAAAAAAATTCTCATGTATGAAAAAATTAACCGTTGTCATCCAATTGTCAAGAAATTGTATAATATCTCCTTGATATAAATTACCGCAAGTCAAATCGGCCATTTCCTCGTTCATTACGCGAAAATTTGGTTTTGATCTCCCATTGAGCAATCGCGCATGCGTGTTACTACCGTCAAGTCTCTGCACGTGCGCGACTATTGGGAATCCCAAAAACGACTATTCGGAAAAATCGGCAGCCACAAAATGGATGGTTAATTATAATTAACGAGTCGGAAAGAGAGATATTTGATTGAAAGGGAATTTTCCTCCAGACGCACAAGCGATGGAAAAATTAAATGTACATGCGTTGTTTATTCCAAGGCTGTAATCCAATTGTCGAGGGATTGTATAACATCTCGATGACATGCGTTACAATTCAGATGTAACGTCTATGGTATAATCATCCACGAAGTTATTGTTTTCTTCGTCATCCATTACGTACGAATTAGGTTATATTTTGTGATTGAGCAATCGCTCATGCGCATAACTCCCTCAATGTCTCACGCATGCGCGAGCATTGGGAATCCCAAAACAAACTCTCCCCTAATCTCAGCGAAAACCAAATGATTTCTCTCCTTTATTTGGAATGACCCAATTAATGACTCGTATATGCAGATTTTATTTTCCTTTCTCATTTCATAATGTCGCAGAGTCATAAAACTCATGATTTACCTCAAATAAAATGCTGCAGAAATACTTTTTTTTTTCGCTTCACAGCATGCAATAAAATTGAGGTATCATTACCCTCTATCTGTGATATTAATCCCCGACTAACTTCCTGAAAAAAAAATAGTAATAACTCACGTTACTGTGATAATGCATGTCGCACGTAATAAAACCAATGAAAAATGCAAGTGAAAGTCCAGTACAAAGGGACAATCATCGAAGATGATATCCCCAGTTAATTATAAATCAACCTCCACAATAATTTTATAATCAATTATCGCATTGTACGTGACAATTTCACATGCGGACGCACGTGCGGTCGACATGAAAAAGCGATTTTAAATTCCAAAAACAAAATTTATTCATCGGTATGTGTAATTTATTCTCATGTTTGATCTCACCAGAATTGATGATATTTTATAATAAAATGAATTCAATTGCAACAATAATTTAAATTAATGGATAACAACCGGTGTTTTAGAAGAAGTTGACAATTCCGGATTACAATTTAATTATCAGATTGCGCAAAGTGAAATTGGATACCGAAGAATTCATGAAGCCACGAAGGTTTACTTTAATAAAAAATTACAGCTCGCGATGGGTTGCAAAGGCGATTGTAACGAACTGTAAATGTGCCTCGAGGACGAGTCAAAGTGCGTGCAATAAAATAGGAAGCCACCGTGACATCATCATTGTGAAATAAATCAAAGTGCAATTCATTGTTTCGTTAAAAGATTGGCTTACACTTTATTGTCAATTAGTCATCAGTATTTCATTATTTTCACGTTGTATTAATAAATAATACACCCAGATTACAATATACATACATATTTTACATAATTATATAATGTAATCGTTCAACAAACCAGACCAGTGCACCGGTGGTTAACAATAATTACTTGTTGTTCGTTTTTATTGAAATGATAAGTGAATATCTGATACCTAATGACAAAAGCTGGAAGCTTAAGCTATTTAACATTCATGAAATTTAAACGGGATCATTTATCAATCTCAATTTATTAATTTCAAGTCAATTAATTACCTGATGAGCTCATTTATTTGTTTTTATTAATCAATTACCTCTGGTTATTAATTAATCAATACGCAAAAGAAATCAATTGAATCGAATGATTAATAAATATTCTTATCTTCAATCTGAATTAATCGAGAGAATTTCATTAATTGTTAAAAATTAAATGAATTGATTAATTGAAAATGAAAATTAATGAATAATTTTTGCCGATTAGATTTTGGTGGCACAAGTCAATTAGTTACCAGAAGAATTCATTTATCTCTCATTAATATATTTCCCCTGGTAATTAATTAATTAATTACCAGAAGATTTTATCTCAATATAATCATCAAAAGTTCAGCTAGTTTATTGTCGTTACAATTTATTACTTTCACTCGTTTTTTTATTACTTTCTTACATTACTTTCATCGTTTATTGTCGTCATAATAATTGATTCGCACATTATTTTTTTTTATTCAATTCCAATGTTCATCGAAAAAATTTACAACGACATTTGTGATCATTTCTCACATCCGAGTATTTACGGTAACATGTAGAGTATATACTGTAGGGTGTATATACAGAATGATTAATTATATATTGAAATAAATAGATTTATCGGTTCAAGAAATTGCTGTGAGAATTTTTATCAAGAGCTTTTGCTTCGGTCCAACAACAAATTCTTTCACGTGCTCAATATCTGTTTATTTTATTTTTTAATAACTTTTTATCTCGATATATCGGATCAAGTGCGAGATTGTATTGTGAAGATATGGTATGGCATCTGTTTCTATTTGATTTTCATTCTGAATATTGATTTTTCACTCGCTATTTCACTCCAACAAAAATATTCTCCAATTTTTTTTCTATTCTATTGCTCTCCTTTATATTTTACAAGAAAAAATGTTATTATGTACATTGTAAATCAATTGAAACAGAGCTGATAACCAATTCTGAGTATTACGGTATTAAACGATATGAAAATTCGATAACTAAATCGAAATCACATTTTTTTCGTTTCTAAAAATATTACATCATAACAATTATCATTTTCTACTTTACTATCAACTTTTTTAATTAAGACCCGAATTTATTATCTAACGTAAACATTCATTTGAATTTTATCTCACTCCTCCAAAATATTTCTAAATTTAGATATTTTTCATTTTCCATCACCTCTCCTCGACCATCAATTTCTCCTCCTTTACATAATTATTTGTTTATAACCCCTGGACTAATTTTCGATTAAATTTGAATCCCAAATGTAGAAACATTTTACACTAACGAATTAAAATAAAAATTGCAGATTACGTTAGGGTTGTATGCGGGTCTTAAATGGATGTATGACGAGTAAATAAAATAGTAAATAGTAAATAGGGGACTGATGTAAATGAAATATAATTGTGTTGTATCGTTGATTATGGAGCGATAAAATCCTAAAATTACATTTCACAGCATTGAAGGTTGACCAGCATATGCCTCTCCTACAGAGAGTCAAAAATCAAAAATTAACAACAAGGAGAAAAAAAAAATTTGTTCTCTCGACACTTGACGCACTTCCATTACATTATTGTCGATAAATTAATACATTGTTCCACCTCTCATCATTTAATATATAAATATATCATTATTATTGTTCGAACAGCATCAGCACTTAGCCTAATTGTAAATGTGTAATTATATAATTCATATCTGCAGTTGTATAAGTTCTTTCTATACTTTTTCATCAATTTTATTTTTTTTTTCATCCTCGTGACGAATAATGGAGATAAGATAAATTAGGCCAGACACTACTTTTGAGTGATGAATATAATGGGTAAGTCTATATATTTTTTTCTACGTACTTTTTTTTTTATATAAATTATGGTAATACTCGTATTTGTTAATTCAACGGATTTTCAATCAAATGCGATTGCAATTTTAACAAACGTCATCTCATTCGGGAATTGTTTAATTCAATAAAATTTCAGCGCGATAACAAATTCGTTTTTGTTTATAATAAACAGAAGAGAGCTTTTCTACTCAAAGATATCCAAGTATCTTCTGCGAATTAATAAAGTCCAGTGAATTCTCCGATTGCGCAATTATTATAAATTTGGAGATTCTTGAATTTAAATTGTAACAAAATTTAATTAATAAAGTAACTAATCATTAAAATCAACAGATCATTCCGTAAAAATGATAACAAAAATTAATTAATCGATCAATCAATATTAAATTAACAGAATACCATCGAAAATTGAATATCTTGTCCCCATTTTATTCAGACGCAATTAATAAATTCGATTGTGGAATCTCGAAAGAAAATCGTGAGTCGAGATTTATTTTTTAGACATGAAGTCGAATGTTTGAAAACGTAGAGTAAAAATAAATTTTAAGGCCCGGATGGACTGTCTGGAAAAGATAATTTACTCCAAAATTGGGACTTCTAATTACTCCGTCAATTAATCGTTTTTTCCGATAATTGTTAACTAGCGGCCTAGTTGTTGACAACCGCTAGAACGCTAGCTAACAATTATTGAAAAAAAAAAAACGATTAATTGCCAAAGTAATTAGGAATCCGAATTTCGGAGTAAATTATCTTTTCTAGATAATCCACCCGAGCCTTAAATAAAAATTGAAATGATGGAGAAGTCTCAAAATGATAAAATCCCGAAAACCCTCGGATATCCATTACTCATAACGATTTCGTGGTATCATAAAAAGAAAATTTAAACAAACAACCAGAAAAATAAAATTATTTAACTATCAAACACCGGCACACTCACCGATTATTTAAAAATTCAAAGATAGCACAATCCCTCGCCCTCACATTCCCCTACAATATCTAATATACTCTTTTCCAAGCTTTTTCCCAAAGCAACAACATCACTACCTATTATTCACACACATTAGCCACTCCCTGGCAACATATCCAATCGATTCCGGTCGTGGATAATAATTATCTTTAATATAATTTTCAATAGATTTAAGATATAAGTTATGAATTATTTAATTTTTCCGATACCACCGCAGTACCACATAAATTGACTAATTTCCCCTGGACATTCGCCCAAAGGTTTACCATAACTTCTGAATTTGTTCCTTTACTTTCAATTTATTTATAATAATAATATATTGAATTATCCGTATTCTCCCTTAATCAGCGCAATCACAAAAATGTACTTTCATTATTATTATTATTTTTTTTTCTGTTTTCACTTTCCTCCACTCACACGTAATCTACTGAACGCTTACGACATATATCTGAGTGATTAGCAAATAATGAGTGCTAATTAATTACGCATTGACACAATAATCGTCAAATATTTCTCACAATGACTCGTTCAATATTAAATACTTCTTTGTATACTGAAAAAAGTCTTAATAATGGATTATACTTTCAAAGTTTCGTCTATCACTTTTTTAACTTTCATTCGTAGTTTTATTTTCTGGATTTCCCGAGAACTCAATTTATCTCAATTTATCTCCTATCATATTGTCAATTGTCCTCACCCTAATCCTCGACAGTAATTACTCCCTAAAAGTATCAGCCAATGGCGCTATAATAATTCTCCTCGAAAAAAAAAAATCAAAGTTGTATTGTCCTTCTTCAATAAATTCAGTCATCAAATATCCCATCGTGCGATTGGAAACAAGTGCAGGTTTTTGTATTGTCGTAATCCCCAAATCATACAGGAATATGAATATTCACTGCAAGTATTCATCAGGTCTTGTAATTATAAATCTCCAGTGCAATCAAAAAACACGTGCATTTTTTATATTTAATATTGTCAGTACTCCACGCTCAAATTATTGTCAGCACGGAAAAATAAGCGCAAGAACTTTATCAATTGTATATTCTATCGTGCGGTATCATTCTGTGCCAATTACCAGAATATTTATAAAAAATACCATTATTTTCAAAAATTAGTGGTAATTAATCATGTTTTTTCAATACTTTCACTGGATTTATCACTTACAGCACTATTATCTGTCCTTTTAGGTATCTGTATTGTCAGAATATTTCAGTAAAACCCTCAAATCGTGTATCCAAAATCCTCCAATAAAATGGAAACGAAGATTTACGATAATCACATCAAAAGTAATCCAAATATTTCCTTGCCCCCATAACCTCATTCCATTTCATTAAAGAATTGTACGCAGAGTCCCAGGGTGAACCAGAATCACTCACACAAAACGAAAAAAAAAAGCCTCAACCGATGCATTCCACTCAATCCAACAAATCCAACTCTATCGATATGCGGAAATAATCGTCAACTCGTGTGATAAAAAATCTGGGAATCCCCCAATTATGTTTTATCCTCATTTCGTGTTTTGTGCAATTGTTGAAGTTACAGAGAGGATCACCTTGAGACCCATTTATCCGATAAATACATGAACGCTTAAACTTACTAGCCTCGAAATAAATGTCGATCTATAGTCTCTTAATATTTCTTCATAACTCTTCAGTCCCATTGTTGATGCTGCATGACATCGTGCGTGTAGTCATCTCTTGCTGGTGGTTGTACGAGAGTCTCGGTTATTCCACTTGTGAATGGATTCGTTGAGCGAAAGGGATTGCTGGTATTTGTTTCCGTCGATCCATAATTTATCACTGGTTGTCCACCAATTCTCTCTTGATCGTAGCTATTGTCCTGATGGTGGGGTACGTCGTCGTTCCATGCGGCGTTTATGTCCGCTGATGGTTGCCTCTGCAAATGATAATAAAAATATTCGACATGTAAATCACAATTTTTTTTATAACAAAGGGAAAATTCTCTGCATTTTCCAACTCATTATTTGAAGAACTCACGATAAATTCAGACTGCATAACTTTGGGAGGAGGTGGCACCGGTGGTTTGGTCTGTCCCAAATCATCAAGTGGATTCCAACTCTTCTCTTCATCCAACGAGGGATCCGCCCAAGACTGCAGCTCACCCGAGCAGAAAATCGCGTAGAAAGTGACTCCACATCCGTGGACACATGCAGCGATTATAAAAACAACCTTCCACTCATCGGCAGACTAGAAAAGGCAAAATCCGACATGAGACATCAGTTATTTGGATATCCAGTGCTGATGAAGAGATACTTGCATGATTTTTCGTCATGTGATCAACAAAAACTGGAACGAGAAGACCAGCAATTGTTCCGATTCCATTGGACATTCCCATCAGAATACTAGCGTATCTCGGTGCGATATCCAGATGATTAACGTTGAAACCAGAAATGGCAAAACCACTGCCAGCAACGCCAAATGTCAGAGCAACTGTTGCACCAGTTGGATTCTTGTGAACCGTTGCATACGCAACAATGAGGAAGAAGAAGGCCTCAGTTCCAAATCCACCGCAGTTGAACAACTTCCGGACTTGCGTTGTCGTCAATTTTCCTGTTCTTCGGAGGTAATCGGCGAGCATTCCACCCAGGGGTACGATGCAGGTCATCAGGAGATGAGGTATACATCCAACCATTCCAGTCTGAAGATCAACATCATATCAAATCATTCGTTCAGGACACAGAAGTTGACAAGCCAGAGTGGCTTGTCCCCTTTTCATACGTCCTGATGTTATTTAATTGTTGTCATTGTACCATAAGGATGAAAAATGATCAATCAATCAACATCAATAATCATTGTATTACCTCAACAGTAGATAATCCAAAGGATTCACTCATGTATCTAGCTTGATACAGAACCAGTAGATAAAAATTCCAGGATCGACAGAAATTAGCAACGATGATGGCATAAACTGGCATCGAGGTAAAGAATTTCTTCCAGGGTGTCGTGTTGAATGTTGGCTGAGGTGCCTGTGCGTGGGCCTGTCCCAGGGAATCTTCGATGTACCGGAGCTCTCGAGCGGTGATGCTTGGGTGCTTTGATGGCCTCTCGAAGACCAGCCACAGCCACGCTGCGTACCAAATAAGTCCAGCGATTCCTGAAAAGGTAACGCAAAGCCACGACATTAACTTGGATTGAACATCCTGATCTCTAGGGATTGTCATTCATCGGGGACATCTCACCGTAGACGTAGAATGAGACAGACCAGTTGAACCAGGAGTTCAAACACCCTGAGAGAGGCATTCCAATAACAACAGCTGCGTATGAACCACAAAATGCCAAAGTCGCTAGTCTCGATCTCTCCAATGGTGGCGCCCAGTTCTTCCAGATGCCGTGACACGCTGGGTAAGTCACTCCCTAGTGAATAATAATTCATTACCCCGTGGTCTAGGTAATCTGGTGGTGATGACTTACCTCGACAAGACCCTTCAGTACTTGAACAAACATGTCCAAATATGGATCGGTGTTGATAGCTCCTGGCACGAGTAGATTGAGAAACGAGGAAATAGCGATAGCAAGACCGAATACCTTGTTGGCCGGATAGAGGGAGGCCAAAAATCCTCCTGGCACTTGGGTGATGAGATACCCCAAAAAGAATGATGAATCCATTGCGCTCTCTGTTCCAACACCCCAATTGTGTATTCTCGTGCCATTGCTGTCTGTTTCGTTGGCTATCGCTAGTTTCGCCATACCCATGTTGGCCCTCATGCCGAAGGAAATTATGAAACCTGCAGCATCAAGAACCTCGTCACATCACCATTAATTGGTGGTGGCAACGACCAATCTATCGCTCGATCCATCAACACCATCAACCAATGATATCATCAAAACAGCATTTAATTATGCATTTAATTATCACAAATTATTATAAAGATCGTTAATTCTTGTGAGCATCTAATTAAAATTCATCTGTCATTTATGTTTCATGTCGTCTGGGGAATAAAAATAATTGAAACACCGATTGCTCACCTACACAAGCAAGCACAGCAACAGTAAATCTTGTTGATAAGCATGGACATTCAGGTTTAATGTACGTGTCGATGTGGCGAAGGGGTGGCCTTTCTGGCTCTGGCAATGAATCGAAGGAGGCACGTCCATCGTATCCCTTCTCGTCCTCAAATCCCATGTTATCTTTGCTCCCTCGATTCCTCGACACTTCAAATTCATCATATCCGGATGAAGGTCTTCTTGTAGATCGATATCTTCGATTCACGAAAAATCATTTGGTAAATAATCACGTCACACCTCAATCATCATTTTTTCAAACTACCTCAAAGTAATGATTAACTCATTGACTTGTCAATTTAATTCATTAACAATCTATAATAATAATTATAATTATAAATTATAAATAATAATAATAATTGAATATTGGCAGATTATTTGGTATAAAATTAGAGATTGTTGATGAAATTATTATTATTCCATGCACAAGTAATTCAATCGGATCAATCAGAATTATGTGATTACAGTGTGTAATTAATAAATTTAATATAAACAATAGATTGACGGGGATAAAATATGAAAAATGCAATTATTCTCTTACTCTGCTAATTTTCCTTCAACCCTTGCTTTGATGGTGCCCAGGGCCCCGAGACCCGCCGCTGCGAATCCGGACATTATTAAATTATTGGGGTTGCTTTTCAGATATAATTTGTTGCTACACTCCTCCCCTCCTCCCGTGATTGGCAGCCCCTAAAATAAAAAATTCCATCGACTTCGAAAGTTTCACTTCAACGAGAGAAATTCAAATAAAATTTCAACTCAGAAAATCTTTACACATCTCAATGAAATGAAATTCAATTAAAATGGCAATAAAATTTTGAACTGGTGGAATCGAAATGAGAGCATCTCTCGAGGGATTTATGTGTCTGCAATTCCTCCCCCGTGAGGAGTCGATTTGGGGGATGAATGTGGAGTAGAGGCTGTTTATTTGGAGTGCCAGGGCCCATCCAACCCCTAATCCACCGGGTCTCTTAGGGTGAAATCGGAGGGAGTAAATTGCGAGGAATCGTCTCTCCGGATGGGGTGCTTTTTTTTTTCTTCCACTTTCTTTTCTCAGGGAGGGAAGAAAAATGTCAGCGTCTTTTCTTTTGTGTCGGGGTAATATTAATTCTATCGCGACTCGTTGAAATACCGTTTGAGGTGGGTTCAGAAAGTTGAGAGTTTGTCTCGTGTTTTCAACTCAAACATGAAGCAAGAATTACTCTGTGCTTTAATTATTCTTTTTTTCTTGATTTTTACTCCAGAGTTTGTCATACAATTTGCCATAACAATTCTACAATAAATTATCAATAATTTTGCACGTGAAAAATATTTACGCGCGTCGAAACGATATATCCCGTAACATCCTGATATATTATCAATGTTTCCGTCCGTGATATAAAAATCTCAATACTCTATACACCGATATATCACGATCTACTGCGATATATTTCCGAAAATTCAATATTATTCATGGAGAAACTAATTGAATATTTCTACGCGTTCTCCATTCGAAAAACAATTCCTCACTTTATTCAATATTTGTAGATCGATATATCTAGTACCATAAGAATATATCACACTATATTTGCAAAAATCAATACCGATATATATCAGAGCTGATCAATTTTATGATATATTAACGCATTATACGCCGATATATCATGATATATCAATTCTCTCGACCATGACTCAATATTTTCGGATGTATTCTATATATTATGATATATTTACACATTATATATTGATATATCATGATATATCAATTCTCCCGACCATGACTCAATATTTTGGAATGTATTCTATATATTATGATATATTAATGCATTATAGATTGATATATCATGATATATCAACGCATTATATCATGATATATCGTGATATATGAGTTGCATCAGCCAGCAAGGACATCAATATTCAATATTAAAATGGCACGTGACTCGACAATGATCGCAAAGAGGGACATCACGTGCTCAAAGAATGAAGGGGGATTCTCCCACTGGCACTACAATGGGGTAAAACCAAAAGTCAACGTAAATGACTTGTCGGTTTGCGTCAAAATTCCGACGTTAATGGTCGATGCTCTCTTTTCCCACCCCCCTCTTTTTTTTTTCTTTTACACCCTCCCACCTCACCCTCAAATCGTTTTGTGACCTCAGTCTACCTTATCTCTCTTTCACACGACTCTATTTCCGGCTCGTCGAGGCTCTCAGTTTCACCGGAAATTCATCCAGATTATTGTATTTTACCGATGTTTCCACCGGTTTTTAATGCGATTTTTGGACATTTTTACGGGAACGAATGTTCAAGGACACTTTACCGAGATGTCCCGAAAATTCTCCGGCGAATATCGATTCGATATACGCATGACTGAAACGTTATTGTCTGGGAGGAAAATTTATTGCTCTATTTGGAGTCTTCGATTTTTATGAATTGAAAAATTCGATTTTCACGGATTTTCTCGGGAAATTTTTGTGTTCACTGGCTCTGGTGTGTCTGTGGGATTTTTACGGGTGTTTTATTGTTTGTGGGGAATTTTCACTTTTTTTTAGGATTTTTGGAATTTTTACCGCGTGATGCGGAAAATGGGAAAATTTTATTTGGGATTTCGCGGTTGGATGGAGCACTCGAGTCGCGGTCATCGATTTCACCTCCATAATCGATGAGCTCAATAAAATCACCGATCACCGGAAAAATATCCTTTACTTCTCGTTACTATTCACTTGCACAAGGTTTTCCACTCAGCAACTTTTCCAATCACTCATATCCTTTCTCTTTACGCAACTCACAATTTTCCAACCGAATTTTATCACTTAGAATCCGCGATTTCGAGTTGAATATCACATTTAAAAAATCGATTACTCCCGGTTCCATTACGTAATCCAAAGTTTGCGCAAGATTTTCTCCCCTAAACACAAGCGAAAAAAATTTTAAAATCCAAATCCATTCACGTTCTGAAATTACCGAATAAAGCAGAGAAATTTCGACGTGTGAAAGTGGAAAGAAAAAAGGAAAAAGGGAATTTTCAGTTTAAAAAACTGAAACATCAAATGAATAAAGGAGCGAATGAATGGCACAGAGATTTGCAAATTATTTTATCTTTCAATTTTTGGTAAATTGTTGAGGGGGAGGAAGGGGTGGAAGTTAAGGAAGAAAAGAAAGGGGAGGGAGACGAAAAAAAATAAGGAAGACGAAGAGGAGTGATTGGTAATTAATCACCAGTTGTTAACAACTCACCAATAATTAAGTCCAGATAATGAAAAAATGCGGATTGGGTTCGAAAGCGCGGGATTGCCCGACGAAGGGAACGTCGTCGTTCGTCCTCGACTTGGCTGGATTCGTAACGTTAACCAGGGGTTGAAGGGGAAAAGAGAATTTTCCAAGCGCCGACGCAACAAAATGACGGTTTCCCATTGGTCACTGCATGACGACGCATCGATATATCTGACCAATCGACGCACCACTCACCCCTTTACTGATCGAACCGAGGCGGAGTCTCTCACCCAGGTTTTACCTGTTATAATAATAATAACAAGTGTGGAATAACAATTGTCGGGTACAGCATTTCTGACATCGATGTAATGAGCCGATTGGACTTACCGCGAGTAATTACCACAGGCGGAAATTTTTGGGAATTAATCGGTTCCTCGGAAATCCGAGTTTTTATTTGAATTTTTGTTTTCAGTGTTAATTATTTATTCAGTCTTTTAATTTATTTCGGTATTTTATCATTTGAAGATTGAGAATGCACGGAAATTTATGCTATAATTGTTTTATTTATTTATTTTTTTTTTTTGTAGTTTTTGTAATTTTTTTAGGCGGAATTTTTACTCATTTTTTTTACTGATATTTCGATTTTTCCGTGAGACAATTTGATTTATTATTTATGAGCGTAATTTTTTGGGGAGATGAATAGGAGTTCGAGTTATGGGATGATTTTCCCGCTTTTTGATTTCCGAATTTCAAATTTTCTCGACCCTCAAAAATCTGAGGACAATCTGCAGATTATTTTGATTTTTTGAATGTTCTCCAAATATTTTTGAAAATATTTTTCTATACAGCCCCACGATCATAAAAGATGTGTAAATTAATTTGAGATCCCAATTGAGAATCCAACATCAATTAAAATAATTCTGAGATAAATATTATCTCTATTCATTATCCAAAAATAATCCGTGCAACTCCAGACAATTTAATTTACAAAAAACCTCCAAAAAAGTCGAACCCACAACTAAACAATTAAATGAATAAATTATTAACCAATTGCATCCATAAATTATCAATGAAATCCATTTCCAAAAAAAAAAGTAGAAGACATGCGAGACGTGATAAAATCCCATAATTTCCTGAACGACTTAAGGCTCGGGTGGATTATCCAGAAAAGATAATTTCCTCCGAAGTTCGGATTCCTAATTACTTTGGCAATTAATCGTTTTTGTCAATAATTGTTAGCTAGCGTTCTAGCGGTTGTCAACAACTAGGCCGCTAGCTAACAATTATCGGAAAAAACGATTAATTGACGGAGTAATTAGAAGTCCCAATTTTGGAGTAAATTATCTTTTCCATACAGTCCACCCGGGCCTTAATGACGAATTATTATTAAATTTATATTGATATTATTATATAAATTATGAAGAAATGTGTTTCGTGAAAAATTAAAGCAAAGACACGTCCTCAGGTGGATAAAATTTTCATCAAAAAAAGATTGAGTGGAATTGTTAAATTAATGGTGAAACAGGACCTCAACGTTGGTTGTAACAAACACTGGTGGCAAGTACATAGTGGGGTAAAGACACCCTCTCGACGGTTGCCAGGAAATATCGATCCGTTGGGGGTTGCAAACTCAAGCTTGGGCAAACGGATGCTGTCCCCCATCCCCCGGGTTTGTCTGTACCAAAGAGCACCTCATCCCCTGGTTTCTTTCGTTCCAAATATCCCAGACACGGTGCCACCACCCTGATAAATAGAATTCCTAGGTATATTGTCCTGGACAGGGTCAAGACAATCAAGACAATCAGTCCAAACCCGCATGACCGCTGTCATCAGCAAACTTCCAGTTGAGAATTTTCATTAAGCTCTTTACGATGTCCATGAGTGAGATTTTTGCCTGAATTACAACTCCAAGTTTTCATAAAAATGTATTGAATATTCAGGACGCCTTTTTATTTTATCCCTGAACATAGCATTCTGGAATTTTCCTCTGGATGACATGTCCCTTCGGGGCTTCCAGGGTTGGAAGGAAGTTTTGACTCTTGTCTTCGATTTTGTCGTTTTCTTCTCCTTGTTCTGGTGCTACGGTTTCTGCTGATACCTTCGACGTTTTCCTCGTGACAACTCGCCCAGAAAGTAAACAGGACCTCGAGGCATTCCTCCCCCTCTCTTTCAAACTGAATAAAATAGATCTCTCGAGGATTTTACAATACAAAACGCATTTCTTCACTCTCTTCTTATCGATCCTCCCTAAAATCCTATTAACAATAGCACAAATCTTCCTGATCTGCGCTTTGAACTTCTTCTTCGCATTTCCAAAGCAGGAGATCATGACAGAGGGATCAGAAGTTATTAAATCATCGATTATTGTCTCTGATTGACAGGGAAGTATCAATTTCTCTTCATCAATTCCACCAGCATTCCCCTTATCAATCTTGAGTTTGAGATTTTTCTCACGATAATCAGTGGATAAATGAGTTGTTCTGTACCTGAGGAATGAGCAGGTTGAAGGCCCACAGGACGTGATATTTTTTATAATCCTTCTGTGATGAGAATTTTTGGCTCTCGCTGGAGTCAAAGCGACGAATGATTTTTCGCTGCTGATTGGATCATCAGGATCGTCTGGAGCTTTTCTTTTAACTGCTCTTTTGGTATCACCAGATTCAGAAGATGCTTCAATCATCAGGGCTCCAGCACATTCCCCGGATTCATTGGAGAGTGTTTCATCACTGCTGCTGATGATTCCAGAAAGTTGCAAGAATTCAAAAAAATGTTTATCAACACTCAATGAGTCTTGATCCCTGCAGACTAGTTTCAGTCGATTATCACGGAGAATAGCATCGATAAAAATCGACGTAGCTGAGTAATCGAACCAGTAATCCAGTGTCTCGACATCGAATGCTCTGCTAAATCCAACCAACCTCAGATACCCGATCGTAATTCTTCAAGCTGTCCACCCCTTTGACCCCAAATGATCTTCTAATCCCTGTAACGATAAAACCATCAGAAAATGGCAAGAAAATCTCTGATATTCCCCGGTATTTATCGCCGATTGATCCCTCCACTCCAGCCATCAACTCCTTAATTGAGTCAGCACACCTTGACACCATTCACCCCCGAAACCCTGTATTTATATCCCCCACATCTTCCTATATCTCCACCGACGATAGGGTATCAGAAGAGGGTAGACTCCACGGCTGCTCTTAATGGTCCGTACAAATGACAAAAGACTCCCACCGATCGATCTGTTACTCCCACACATCAATACTTCAATGCAATATTTCTCACCGATTGACACGTTTCCCCAAATCATCCCCCAACATCCCCCAACATCCCCCAAAAAATCGACAAGTCACTTCCCCAAAACATCTATAAACTAA